CCTACTAGTGGGCCAACAATGGAACATGCATATAGCATAATGAATTAGCTATATTTTAGAATTCATAGTAAATAGATACTTAATTGAGAAATCTTTGTCAATTGTGTGTTGTTGAGATGAAAAAGGATTTAGTATTAATTGATGATATCTCTTAATAATTACAAAGACTTTAAACAATAATCATATTAGAAAATGAGGACAAGAATTCCAAGAATTTATCTTTACTTCTTAAAATTAAGGATTCTATAATGTAATTTAAACCTTAAATAACAAATTCTAGTAGATCAATTAGATTATTATAAATGACACATAAATTTTCATAAAAAAATACAAAGAAATAAGATATCAGGGTAATTCTTGGATAAAAAACTAGAATAATCATTATATTAGACATTTAATTCTTAATTTATTAGTATCATAATCTTAACTATCTTCTATACTTCTCACAGCACAAGGTCTATCCCGTAAATAACATGATAGATAACATACTAATTTTAATATACAATATTATACTGCATTTACATATTTTATCATGAACTCAAGTAATATAACATCCTTTAGAATACACTATTATTTATTAAATTAAATAATACTTTGACATTCAGATCCAGTAGGTCCTGTACATTATTACAATTACTAGTACATGATCCAAAATTAATAATAAAATCTCTTAATCCAAAACCTCTCCATAAATAGATTCAACAAGTGTTGTTGTAAATTTTATTTCAACTTAATTATAAAAAAAGACAAAATAATTTTCTTAAAGATTGATAAAATTAAATAATTTTCTTAAAGATTGATAAAATTAAATACTTTTCAAAACCTTAAAATCATAATAAATAACTAAAGAATAAAAAACATAAAATTATTCAAAGAAATAATTTGATAAATTGCTTTTATTACACATTACATTTTTCATTATAAATTAATTATGTAACAATCTTAAAATGTCTTGTGAATATTTTTTAAATTAATAAATTAGTTAAAAAACAATTTAAAGGTAACTTAAAAGAAAATATAATCATATTAAATTAATCAAACAACCTTAACATTTTTATTAAAAATTTTATTGCATGAATAAATTAAATTGTAAATTCTAAGTCGTTATATTGTTAGATTAATAATCTAATAAACATATGATTTTAAATAATTACATGTATTTTATACTATAACATCATAATTTAAGCATTTTTTATATTAAATAAAATAGAATTATTTAAATATAAAAAATATTTTATTTTTTTTCAAATAACATACAAAACATAATAACTTCAAATAAATAAATATATTATTGTATAATAAACATTATTTCATAAAAAAAATTCTTAAGTAATTTATATTTAAATAATTTATCACACCTTTGTATTACTTTCGCTCTAGAACTGCTTTTAAACATCATTTAGCTTTAATTAAAACTACCTATTTTTAAGTCCTAAAACTATATATATAAGTCTAGAAATAAAATAGCTTGACTTTTTTCTTAGGAGAACTTGATCTACTCTACATTTCTCTTCAAAGCCAATGTTTAAAACAAAATATATAATGATAATATTTTTTGTGTTAATTAGATTAATACGCAATTAATGTCATAATTAAATATCACTTAGAAGATTTAAAAAATTAGCTATTGATTTAAAAATTTATTGTTTTTATTTTAGTGTTTAAATTTTGAAATAAATCGAATGTTATCAGCACATTTAGTTAATATAGATTATTATTAATTATTTTTTGAAAAGTTTAAGAAAGGCAATCGTTTAAGTCTTAACTATTTACAATGAGATTTATATTATTTTTATTATTCTCAAGAATAGATTTGAAACTTTTTTTTGGCCAAGAGTATGGGTTGGGTTAGAAAAGATTTCCTTAATTTGTGATCTACCAATAATTCATTTTTGATAAAAATCGCTAATATATATTGAGCAGAAATCATTAAAAAATATGTCATAATTTTTAAATAATTGAAAAGTCTATTTTTATGTATTTAAATTAGCATTCTTTCAAAGATTTATTCAAAATTTAGTAAATAATCACTTAATGCTATTGATCACAAGATTTAATTTTTAAGATGATTTATTAAGCAATAGTATTAAAGTAATCTTAATTTAAATAAATTTATGACAAATAATTTTACTAAGTAGAAAAACTGAAAATAGTACTCAAAAATGTAGACATCCTCAATTATAAAACAAAATTACAAATAATAAATACATTTATATAAAGAAGTTTCAAGTAAAGGGTATTGTGAAAAATTAATAGTATTTAAAGATCTCATAAAGATGTTAAGTTTTTCATTGGCAAAATTTTAAAATAGTTATTATTTATAAAAATTAATTCANTAATAAACATTATTTCATAAAAAAAATTCTTAAGTAATTTATATTTAAATAATTTATCACACCTTTGTATTACTTTCGCTCTAGAACTGCTTTTAAACATCATTTAGCTTTAATTAAAACTACCTATTTTTAAGTCCTAAAACTATATATATAAGTCTAGAAATAAAATAGCTTGACTTTTTTCTTAGGAGAACTTGATCTACTCTACATTTCTCTTCAAAGCCAATGTTTAAAACAAAATATATAATGATAATATTTTTTGTGTTAATTAGATTAATACGCAATTAATGTCATAATTAAATATCACTTAGAAGATTTAAAAAATTAGCTATTGATTTAAAAATTTATTGTTTTTATTTTAGTGTTTAAATTTTGAAATAAATCGAATGTTATCAGCACATTTAGTTAATATAGATTATTATTAATTATTTTTTGAAAAGTTTAAGAAAGGCAATCGTTTAAGTCTTAACTATTTACAATGAGATTTATATTATTTTTATTATTCTCAAGAATAGATTTGAAACTTTTTTTTGGCCAAGAGTATGGGTTGGGTTAGAAAAGATTTCCTTAATTTGTGATCTACCAATAATTCATTTTTGATAAAAATCGCTAATATATATTGAGCAGAAATCATTAAAAAATATGTCATAATTTTTAAATAATTGAAAAGTCTATTTTTATGTATTTAAATTAGCATTCTTTCAAAGATTTATTCAAAATTTAGTAAATAATCACTTAATGCTATTGATCACAAGATTTAATTTTTAAGATGATTTATTAAGCAATAGTATTAAAGTAATCTTAATTTAAATAAATTTATGACAAATAATTTTACTAAGTAGAAAAACTGAAAATAGTACTCAAAAATGTAGACATCCTCAATTATAAAACAAAATTACAAATAATAAATACATTTATATAAAGAAGTTTCAAGTAAAGGGTATTGTGAAAAATTAATAGTATTTAAAGATCTCATAAAGATGTTAAGTTTTTCATTGGCAAAATTTTAAAATAGTTATTATTTATAAAAATTAATTCAAATCAATAAATCAGCATTATTTATTAGAATTATTTAACTAAATCTATGGTAGTTACATTTTCAATTTTAGAATATGTATAGACACTAAAAAGTTTGGAATTTTGATTCATAAAAAACACAAATTATACATTGAAGTAAGAATTATATATATAATAAATTAATATTTAAAGGAGTACTATGATAAAGAAAATCAAATAATCGAAAAGTAGACAGTATTAAAGTATTTATAAACCCTCATTAAGGTGTTATGATTAACCATATTGTGTTATTTTTCTATCATACCTATTTTTTTCATTTCTTATTCTTCAACACCTAAAGCTTCAAGATATTTTTGAATGTATATTATTCCTACTTCTTAAAATTACTTGTCTTTTATTTATGAAGATATAGAATCTATTTCTTTTTGATTAAGTAAATGAATATAACCGTTCAGCTCTTATGATATGGATGTATCAATCTACAACTATTAAAAGTAGATTTAATACTTACAACTGCAGTTTATAACATTAAGATTGTTACAATTAATTTTTTTTTATAATTCTGAATTGAGGCGATAACCTACTTTATAATTAAGTTTTTGAAATATTTGATTTAGTTCATAATTTAAACAATTCATGAGAGATAAATTTAATAAGGTTCATAAGGATTTTTATTTAAGATTGATATTAAATTATAATCCCAAGGAAATATGTTATTCTATTGTAGTAGAACATCAATTTTTTTCCTAATCAATGTGAAACTAGGAGCGTGTAATTTATTATATTTAATTATAATTTAAAGAAAGGTAAAAATAAATTTATATGTATTTTTATCACTTTAAATTCAAATAAAGTTAAATTTGATGTCTGAAAATTCATCCAACTTGATTTATCAAATAAAAAAATTATGCAACAATAATTTGAAATAAAAAATCTAAAATTGGATATTTGCTTTTGAATAGGAAAAAAGTTCAAAACATATATGTTAATAATATTTTTTATTTATAGAATAAGTGAATATCAAAATTTATCTCCGATCATACAGTATGCAAGATAAATTGAGTTAGTACTGAGGATTCTGCGGAATAACACTTGATTTTTTATTATTTTAAATATAACAATATCTATATTGAAATCTAAGAATACCAAGAAGATTAGAAGAATAAATAAAAATAAAGCGAATATAATCATAAGTTTCAATAAAGAATAATAATTGGTATATTAGAGCATTACAAATTAAGTTCTTTTCTTATTTAGATTCATCTAAAAAGACCAATATTTGAATTCAAATTTTTTCTTGAACGTTTTAAATTTAATATTGGCCTCTTTGGAAATAAACGAAACAGATAAATAACTTAATCTGTAGTGTTTTAGTATAATTCATAATTACCTGGATAATCCATGTAATTTAAAGATTGAGCTATTAATAGCAAATATCGAATACTTGTATAAATAATTGAAGGGTTTCTTAAATATTACATTTAGTGCTTTTAAACAATCTGCTCAGAAGATTTTAAACAATCCCCTAAGAAGCTTTTTCTTGTTTTAAAACACTAATCTAAAATTTTATTTTTAGAAGTACCTTTGTCATTACATTCGTTATAAAGAATTAATGGTTAATGCTTTATCCTACCGTTTAAGTGTTCGCTTAGATAAATAAAAGAAAATACTTGATGAACGACTTTATACGTCTCTGCCTTTAATTAAATAAATAAAATAAAATCAAATCTTTTTAACTTCATTTATATATGAATTCATAATTACTAATTTTTTATGTAAATATTATAACAAAAATTTTTCATTCCTTATTTATTTTATATCTGGCTATCTGACTGATTTTGAATAAAATATCAAATTGCTAATTTTTGTATTTTAATGTGGAATTTTAAAGTAACATTAATGAAACGCTATTTTATATTTCTCTTATTATTGATAGATATAAATTTAACTGTCGTTCAATTTATAATAAATAAATTACTCAACTAAAATACATATAAATATTTGGAATCACTTAAATTTTTACCATTTTCAACTTGGCATTAAAGATTTGAGAAATTTAGTGTGGTTTTTAAATCTGAGGAAAATCAGTAAATTTTTAACTATAAGATGGAGGGAAAAAAAAATTATAATCTATAACTGTTTGAAATTATATATATCAATAAACTGTAACAGATTTATCTTTATATTTTAAATCTTTACATTAAACTATTTTTCCTTTAGAAAAAGTTGCTTATATGAGTATATCTTTATTAAAAAATCCTAGCCCATTTCCAGAATATTAATCTTATTCGTATTCGCCATCATAAACCAATTCTAAATTATCATCTACTTATTTGAAAAGTTTTCCTTAACCTTATTTTTTAGAATTCTCAAAATTTCCTTTGTATATATAACTAAATTTCTGTTTTGAATGGATACTCTAATAATATATTCTTTCACCATATCCAACTATTTTATTTTATTGAATAAAGCCAATATGCTTTTATAATTTGATAAATTTATCATTTTCAATTTTAAACCATTCAAAAATACATTCTCCTTATTTGATTGATTTTTCATTTATTGACCCTTAAAATATTGACACTTAATATTCATTATTTTATTCAATTAATATACATTTTTCAATTATTCCATTTGAGAAAATTCCAAAAATCAATTATTTCTTTTACTTAAAGTACTTAATACCTAAGCCATGCGGGATATTATCATTGTTGTAATATCCTTTGTAAATTTAATTTTCATCAGAAATATCTAATATTTCACTTTTATAATTAAGTAAATGGAATTAAGATTCAACATAATTTAATCCATAATCACCTTGAATTAAGATTTATTCATAAAATTATTTCAAAACAAGATTTTATTCAAAATTCTCATTCCAGAAAAGTTAGATAAAATTATTTAATCCTATTTGTGATCCCTGATTATTAATTCCATCTTGAAGCTAATTTTTTTTGAGAAACAATTATTAGATTTAATTTATTTGAGATATAATTTTCTCCTAATCTTATTTTTTGCTTTATTTATGCAGGGTTTAGAGTGCGTGTAAATATTTCTCTATCTCCTATAATTACAACTCTTTTAGCTAATTTTCTTTAATCATATTCAAAATTGATGGTTCTGTTAGAAAAGTTGTAAATTAATTATCCCTTGACATTTCTGCTGAATGTAGAAATTTCATTTTATCTTTTTTCTCATCATCAATTATTTTTTTACTATCATTTGAAAAAGTAGTTAATAAATCTTTCTGGTCTGATTAAGAATGATCAGTTTCTTCATTTTTTGACTTGATTTCAGCAATAGATACATAATAATAATTTTTTGTTACAGCAATAAATTAAGGATTTTATTGTTTTTCTTCGTTGCAACTAATAGGATCTAATTTCATTATCAAAGGTTTAACTTTTGAAATTGATGTTTTAGATTGTGATGATATATCTATCAACATATCATATGCTACTTTCAATCCTAGCTATTGTTCTAATAATTTATGACACACCATGTATAATTAAGGAAATGAGTTTCTGACTTATTTAAGCATCTCCTTTACTCTGAATGAGTTAAAACATAAATAATCTTCATAATTCTTAATTTTGATATCAAATTGTTTTGATATAATTTAAGTTATTAATAAGCTTATTGACCATTCATCATTTTATTTAAAAATTGAGTCTTACAATAATTCATTTTAAATAATATCTTAAAATTATAAGTCTTAATCTTGTTAATTCATTAACTATTTGATATTTAACATTGAAGTAGATTAATAAAAATGAAATTGATACTTTTATTCTTCAGTGAGATTCTAAGAAAAGTAATATTTATGTATCACTCGAGCACTTCCAAAGTCAGTAAGTTTGATAAAACCATTAGTATAAATAAAATTCTTAGGTGTTATATTTAAATGGAATATCTTTCTGCTTTATAATTCTAAACCTATTCGAAGCATTTAAAAGATGATATTAATTAATTTTTCTTAGTTTACAGTATTATTTTTAAAATATTATTCTAAATTTTAACTATCACTAGTGCTTTCATAAATGATAAATATTTTATGAATTTGCTTTGATATTTCTTCCGCCCAATCTAAGATTTTTAGAAAAGAATGAGGAGCTTATTCATTTAAAATATTTTGTATTTTGATTTCTTCGATGAAGTGTTATTTCCATTATTCCCATTCATTTACTGTAAATTTTTGTTATTTTATTATATATCCTTATTTGGATACCAATAAAGTTGTATTTGACTCTTTTAAGGTTCTTAGATGTGAAACTGGAAAATATTTCTTCACATATTGATAATAATTTAATTGCATTATGTTTTTCACCAATCACCAAAGATTTTAAAAGGCATGCCTTTTTCTATTTAAATTTTATCATCTCTTTAAAAAGTTAGCTAAAATTAATACTTAATACTATATTTTTTGTCAACGAGATTTTAGAAATCAGCCATAGAAATTATATTTCTTAATTTACCCTGAATTTAATATTCTATTTAAAAACTTTAAGTTTTTAAATCGATTCTTAACTTATATTCTTGTAAAAGCTTCTTAAGGCTCAATAATTCTGTGAGGCAAAAAAGAATTATGATTTGATTATTGTAGGATAGAATTTCTTTAGATTATTTATTGTCTAAAAATATATCTTGAAGATTATTGTGGAATTAATTAAAATATTATTATGATGATTTATAAAGATATATTAGAAATTAATAAAAATCTTAGTTATAATTCAATAAAAATATCATAAACTGTTTCTTTTAATAAATATTAGAAAATTAAGAAAAAATAATATTACAATTTATTAAAAATATTATTAAATAGATGCTTAGAATCGAACATTAAATTATTCATAGAATAAGTTAGTCCTGCCTCAATAGTAATTTACAAAAATTCCATTTTATACATTAAATTTGAGAAATTCTTATGAAAAAACCTGAATGTATATATTAACAAATATTAAAAATTTGAATAACGTAATTAGGTTTCAGAATTAAATATTTTCAAGAATTCAGAATTTATCCCAACATCTATGACCAATTCCATCACTGAAATTTTCGTTGCAGTTTATTTTTCGTCACTTTCAAAAAGATTCATGATTATGAATATTTTACGAAAGAGATTTTTTAAACATTAAAAATAAACAATTTTTCAATAACAATTAAATTTTGTGAAGATTTAATTAATGATTTTACCAATAAAGCAAATGAAATTATATTAAGATAAATACCTCATATATGCCGATATTAAAAATTTCAATGTTTTTTTTTGGAAAGATGAAAATTATAAAAATTTTATCATTATATTAGTATATTTTCAAATTAATCTTTTTTAATGCTTCATATTAATATAAAATGTTTTTATGTAAATTCTTCTTGCCTAAATTATTATCAAAACTAAATTCTTTATTTTTGGGAAAATACCTAAAAAAAGAAAATGTGTATTTTTTATTTTAGGTTGGTTTAACAAAAAAAATTTTTGATATATAATTATACTTGATAAATTAAATTTAAAATGAGGATTGTCTTATTTATATAAATTATAGAGAGTAATTAAGAAATGTATTGAAATATATCTTTAAAAATTAAGTAATAAAAAAAATAATTAATGGAACTCTTGATTTTATTTTTAATAGAACTCAGTTGTACCTTGAGCGTGTTAAAATCTGATTAATGTTTAGATTGTTCTAAACTAATTAGAAAGCAAGATTGTGAATATGGAAATTGTATTTGGAGTAATAATGGTGAAAATTCAGAGGGATATTGCATTAATAACGGTTCAGGTATAGATTCTGGAAATTCTGATGTTAATGTAAGTTTTTGCAAGGGGATATCAATTCCAGAATAAAATTGTTGGAAGGTAAAAGGATGTGCATACTACAATTAAAGTTGCACATTTTTTACAGGTTGCTCTGCATATTTTTTCCATACAACATTTGATTGTTAACATATATCATCTTAATGTATCTCTGAAGGAGATGGATGCATAAACGCCAAATAGTGTATTGAATATTTGACTTAAGATATTTGTGAGAATTCAGGAAGTTCAAGTGGTAAATATAAGTCAATAAATAAGGGTCTGGTAAATGTAAATGGGATTCTGTAATTTAGAAATGTCGAGATGAATTATGTAGTGAAGCAGGAATTGGATTGACTACTGATTAAGAATGTTCTAAATTTAGGTTTGGTTGCATTACAAAAGGATAAGGTTGTGCAGAGAGTCCTTTGAAGGAATGCAATACATATGAAAGTTAGGGTTAAGAATGCAGTAAATTAATTGGATCCGATGGAGCATGTGAAAATTTATAAGGTAGTCAATATTGTTAATAAAAAAAATGTGAAACTGCTCCGAATAATTATAAAAGCGATGAGCAATGTGATAAATATTTAAAGGGCTGTGTCAGTACAGGGAGAGGATGCGTATAAAAATTGTATCCCTGCACTTCTTATCAAAAGGATTGTACCAGTTATGTAGGTTCAGATGGAATATGTGAATATGAAGAAAAATCAGAGAATTGTAGAAGTCGTAAATGTGAAAATGGATAATTCAATTCAGATGAGGATTGTAATCAATATAAAATTGGTTGTGTTAGTAATGGAAAAACATGCGCTGATAGCTTATAAAGTTGTTCTAGTTTCAAAGGAAATAAAAGTTCTTGTTTAGGATATATCGGTTTGGATGGATTATGTAAAGGAATAGATGATACTGAATAGTAATGTTAAGTTTAAGATTGTGTTTTAGACAGCGATAGCAAATACTAAACAGATGAACAATGCTAGAAAATATAAAAGTAATGCAAAACAAATGGANTACCTTGAGCGTGTTAAAATCTGATTAATGTTTAGATTGTTCTAAACTAATTAGAAAGCAAGATTGTGAATATGGAAATTGTATTTGGAGTAATAATGGTGAAAATTCAGAGGGATATTGCATTAATAACGGTTCAGGTATAGATTCTGGAAATTCTGATGTTAATGTAAGTTTTTGCAAGGGGATATCAATTCCAGAATAAAATTGTTGGAAGGTAAAAGGATGTGCATACTACAATTAAAGTTGCACATTTTTTACAGGTTGCTCTGCATATTTTTTCCATACAACATTTGATTGTTAACATATATCATCTTAATGTATCTCTGAAGGAGATGGATGCATAAACGCCAAATAGTGTATTGAATATTTGACTTAAGATATTTGTGAGAATTCAGGAAGTTCAAGTGGTAAATATAAGTCAATAAATAAGGGTCTGGTAAATGTAAATGGGATTCTGTAATTTAGAAATGTCGAGATGAATTATGTAGTGAAGCAGGAATTGGATTGACTACTGATTAAGAATGTTCTAAATTTAGGTTTGGTTGCATTACAAAAGGATAAGGTTGTGCAGAGAGTCCTTTGAAGGAATGCAATACATATGAAAGTTAGGGTTAAGAATGCAGTAAATTAATTGGATCCGATGGAGCATGTGAAAATTTATAAGGTAGTCAATATTGTTAATAAAAAAAATGTGAAACTGCTCCGAATAATTATAAAAGCGATGAGCAATGTGATAAATATTTAAAGGGCTGTGTCAGTACAGGGAGAGGATGCGTATAAAAATTGTATCCCTGCACTTCTTATCAAAAGGATTGTACCAGTTATGTAGGTTCAGATGGAATATGTGAATATGAAGAAAAATCAGAGAATTGTAGAAGTCGTAAATGTGAAAATGGATAATTCAATTCAGATGAGGATTGTAATCAATATAAAATTGGTTGTGTTAGTAATGGAAAAACATGCGCTGATAGCTTATAAAGTTGTTCTAGTTTCAAAGGAAATAAAAGTTCTTGTTTAGGATATATCGGTTTGGATGGATTATGTAAAGGAATAGATGATACTGAATAGTAATGTTAAGTTTAAGATTGTGTTTTAGACAGCGATAGCAAATACTAAACAGATGAACAATGCTAGAAAATATAAAAGTAATGCAAAACAAATGGAATGGGATGTGTTTACAAATTGAAATTATGTAAGGAATATGAAGGAAATACAGATAGCTGTTTTTAAGTGATTGGATCTGATGGAAAATGTAAAGTAGGAACAGATGGAAAATGTTAAAGGAGAGCTTGTTCAGATGCTCCAAGTACTTACAACACAGATTATGAATGTAAGAATTTCTAATCAGACTGTGTAACCAACAGCAATGGATGCGTAAACTAAACAAGTTGCTAATTGACTCTGAAAGAGATCAGCTGTTAGGGCACTGTTGGTTGTCGATGGAATTAATCATGCTAAGACTCAACAAAATGTTCTAATTTCAGTACTTAAGTGATATGTGAGAATAACTCAGCAATTAATTACTCTTCTGCAGATGGGATTACTACATATTATTATACAAAATGTTCATGGAAAAACAATTATTGTGTAGATTTATCATGTTCTGATTTGAGTGGAGATAATTATGATTCTGATTCTGCTTGCTAACAAGTAATGTAAAATTGTATTTACAGTGGTTATGGGTGTATAGATAGATAGAGTAATTGTACAGAATTTAAAGGAACTTAAAATAAATGTGCATTATATGCCAATAAATGTTGGAATGATTCTAATGCAACAGAAACATCTCCTTGCAGAAATAGGTTGTGTTCTGATAACTCAATATTCACTACTGATGAAGAATGTGCCTATTTCTAAAAAGGGTGCAGAACCAATGGATAAGGATGTATAGAAGATACTAAATTATGCTCTGACTATTAAGGAAATCAGGCTTAATGTAATAAATTCACAGGTTTCATTTCAAATAGTACTGATCGTTAATAATGTTACAACACAATTGGAGCTACTTCGAATACATATTGCATCGTTAAAACATGTGAAACAGCTGTTGGATTAACAAATGATACAGATTGTGCTAAATTCTTGAAAGGGTGCCTCTGGAATGGCTTGAGTTCTTGTGTAAAAGAGAATTCTGAATGCACTGCCTTTTATGGCACTTAATCATAATGCAATACATTTATTGGCAATAAAATGCGTTGCTATGGTTTAAGCACAAATAATATCAATTCTCAATGCAAAATTAAACAATGTGTTGATAATAATCAATCTGGACTTACTGATAAACAATGTAATGATTTCTTAGAAGGTTGTGTATCAAATGGGATAGGATGTACACCAAAAGAAACTACTTGTGATTTATTCAATGGTACTTCTGAAACTTGTTCTAAGTTCATAGGAAATGGTTAGAAATGTACTAGAATGAGCAATTGTACTACTAGGTTATGCTCTGATTATACCAATCCTACAAAGCACGAAGATTGTTATAATTATCACTCCAAATGTAGATTCTTAAACATTTTGTCAGCTTGTATTGAACAAACACTCTGTGGTAATTATGTTGCTTAAGGAAGTACTAATACTGAAAAAAATGCTTATTGCAGAGCCTTAAAAGATGATTCTAATTTCATTTGCAGTTATCAATCAGGAGATAATAATTGCAGCAATTACACTTGTGATTAAATATTAACCAAAACAGAGTGTGAATCTTATACACAAAGTAAAAGATGCTATTTCATCAATAACTAATGTATTTCATCTGATAATTGTTCCTCAATAGTCATAGACAATACATCATCAACTAAACCAACAACAGATTCATCAAAGTTAACGTGGTGCAATTAATACAAAGATAGTAATAACAAATAATGCTCCTATCATTCTTCATTAAACTCTATTAAATGTTCAAATTACAGTATATGTGAATAAGTAGTTTCAGCCACCAGCTCTGCAGATTGTAATAGATTACTTTATAAAGACCCTAATACAACCAACAAAGGATGTTTATTTTATAATAATCAATGCTATTCAATTAAACCATTATGCTCAGATTATGTTGCTATTGGAACTAATAATACAGAAAAATCATCATTTTGTTAAGCTATGAAATTAAATACATCAATTGGTAATGCTAATACTAAAGTTATTTAATGTTAATTTGTGAATGGAGCTTCCAATTGTTCATCTGCAACTTGTGAGAGTATTTCAAGTGCCAGTAATTAAGCAGATTGTAACAAATAAGCATTAGATTGTGTTTATTTTTCAAGTAAATGCTTTACAAAATAAAATATATGCACATCTTATATCACAACCTCACTCACTTCTGACAAACCATTATTTTGTTCATTTATGAAGAATTCATCAGGAGAGCATTGTGGATACATTGATGGTATGAATAATTGTATTAATTCCTCTTCTGATTGTAAATTATTTAGATGGGCTGCTTATAATAGTAATCCTGCTCCTTCGCCTGTTCCATCAACTAACTCAAATAAAAGAACATATTGCTAATAACGAAGATCAACTCAAGGTAGATTATGTGGATATAATTACAATGATTCCTAATGTAGTTTAGAAACTAACTATTGTGAATTAATTCAATCTCCCACATCCTAAATGAGTTGCGATATTTAAGTAAAAGGATGCACTTATATATAATCAACTTCACTATGTGCCACAACTTCTAGATTAACTACTTGCAATGATATTACTTTTGATGTTTCAAGTTTATCTACTGACACTGATAAATTGAATTATTGTAAATCAGTTAAGAATTATAATGGTTATTGTACTTGGATATCTGGAAATGGATTTTGTGATGATTTGCCATCAGCATGTACATCAATTAATATAAGCGCTGTCACAAATGATAACGATAGAGCCACGTATTGTTTAAGTAGAGCTAGTAATGCAGGAAACTGTGCTTGGAGAATAGGAGATTCAAATAGTACTTGTAGAGCAATTTCTTGTTTTGATATCACTTATGCTCTAAATTAAGCTACCTGCGATAGTGTAATGTCTGGTTGTATCTATTATTAAAAATAATGTATAACTTATCAATCTACTTGTAATAAATATTATGCTTATGGGGCAAATGATGATTAGAAATTGTATTTTTGTTAAGGGTTAACTCAAACAACCAGCAATTATCAATGTACTTATATAATGGGAAGTTCATTTTGCACGGTTAAACTTAGCAGTTGTGCCTCTTATTCGGTGAGCACTTTGAGTGATGCTAACAAATTGACTTGGTGTTATTTTTTAAAAGATTTATCATCAAATATTTGCGCCTTTTAAACTGGAGATAGTACTTGTAAGCAGATTACTTGTGAATTAGTAATTACTCCATAATCATAAAGTGATTGTGATCTATATTTAACAGGATGCCAATTTTACAAAAGCTACTGCTATACAAAACCAACAACCTGCAGTTCTTATTCTATTCCTTCTACTATTACTGATAAAGTTGCATTCTGTACAAATCTTAAAAACACATCAAATTTATATTGTGGATATGTAAGTGGAAGTACATGTTCAGCTTAAGTTAATTGTACTTCAATTACTGCAGTTGGTTCAACTATTGCTGAAAAATAAACTTATTGCTAAGCAAGAAAATCTTAATTTGGATATGTTTGTGATTATTCTACTGGAAGTAATTGTTTCTAAATGGATACATCTCTGAGTTGCACCTCAGTCACAGGATCAATAATAAATCAAGATAGTTGTTAGTTTTTTTCAGCTAATTGTTCTTATTTGGATACAACCAAAAAATGTGATTTGAACTCGAATTTAAATACTTGTGATAAATATTAATTTAGTAGTACAATTGATGAGGATACAAAATTAATTTATTGCAGATCTGTTTTATCTGGTGGTTGTAATTATTAGTTTGGTGATACTAAATGTTCAAATTAAGTAACATAATGCAATTAATTTTTAATTACAAGTGTCAATGATAAAAAGAGTTATTGTTAAGCTAGAATGAGTTAGAATAGTTATTGTTCATATGATGAATAGAATGAGAGTTAATGCAGTTAAATAAAATGCAGTGATATAGAGAATGCAAATTCATAGAGGGATTGCAATAAACGTATGTCTGGTTGTACTTATTATCGAAACTCTTGTTTTTCATCTGAAAATAATTGTAATTTGTATAAGACTTATGGAACAGATGATGAAGTAAAAAAAGTTTATTGTGAAGGATTGAAAGCTTCAGACGGTACATTATGTACTTTCATATCAGGTGAGGGAGTATGTATAAATTAAAAGAGCAGTTGTTCATCTTATGATGTTTCTGTTTTAACAGACAAATAGATTTGGTGTGAAAAGCTAATTTAGAGCGATGGAAAAGGATGTACAAACACAAACGATTCGCCGACTTGCAGTTTAAAAAGTTATATATGCGAGACAATTGTAGCAAATAGTTAAATAGATTGCAATAAAATTCTTAATAATGAATGTATATATTACAATTAAAAATGTTACACAAAATAAAGTAGTTGTTCAGGGTATGTAATTCCTTTAGGAATAACAAATAAACAACTTTATTGCAAGAACATGTTTGATAGTTAATTATAGTATTGCACAGGTGGGACAACAAATTGTGGATCACCAACAATAGATTGCACAGATATCTAAACTAGTGGTAGTGATAATTAATAAAAGAGAAGCTATTGTAGAGAATACAAAAACTCAGATGGGTAAATGTGTGGATATTCATCTGGATTAAATTGTGAAATCGAAAAAAATTATTGCAGTGTTATTACAAATGCATCAAGTTAGGAATATTGTGATTCGAGATTAGATAATTGCGTATATATTTAAAAGAATGGAAAATGTATTGAGTCATATTTGGTTTAGGATTGTACTGGGATGTTATTCAATACTGGTTTATCAAATGCAAATCGAGTCACTTATTGTTAAGCCTATGATCCATATGGTAATGCATGTACTTGGAGTACAGCAGGAGATCATTGTGAATTAGATTCAAAGTAGTGTTAAGACTTTGATGCTTCTGGATAATCAGATAAAAGATCATTTTGTTAATCAAAATAAGGATACAATTGTTCATGGAGAAATGGAGACTCATCCTCATTGTGTAGAAATTTCAAATGTTAAGATGTAGATCTTGCTTAGAGTTAATCTGATTGCGATTCTATAATATATGGATGTAGTTTCTATATTAATTCTTGTTTCACTCCAGAAAATAATTGTGATAATTATTATGCTTTAGGTACTGATACATCAGTGAAGTAAAAATTTTGTAATGGAATCTAAACACTATCTAATCAAAAATGTACATATTTAACAGATGATTACAAATGTAGAATGAGAGATCTATGTGCAAATTACAATGTTAGTAGTATAAGTGATAAGCTCAATGCGTGTTTAGGAATGTATGATTCAGCAGGAATCTAATGTATTTATGTTAAAGGAACTACTTGTAATGTAGTTGATAAATGTGAAACTTACACTGGCTTATCTAATATGAGTAATTGTACAACTTTATTTGATAACAATAAAAGAAATTGTCTCCAAGGCATTTCATCATGTCTTACTTTTATTTGTGAAAATATTAGCAATCCATTATCATAAAGTGATTGTGACACTTAATTGAAAGGATTATGCTATTATAACAACACTAATTCTAAATGTATCACCATATCTGATTGTTCAACTTATAAAAGAAGTGATTGGCCAGTCAATTCTGATTCTATTAAGCATTGTTCAACTCTTATTGATAAAAATGGACATCATTGCACAGCGGATGATGTATCTAGTACATAATGTAGGGAGAGATTATGCAGCGATAAATTATACTATTTGAATTCAGATTGTAAAGAATGGAGATCTTCTTGTAAATCAGATGGATCCAAATGTATTGATTCTACTAAAGCATGTTCATAATTTACTGGCAATTAAAATTCATGTAGTAAATATTTAGACTCTGATAATCTTAATTATTGTAAAGTGATTAATGGTTCTGAATAAACGACTGGGCCTTGTTTATCATTGTCTTGTTATCAAAATACAACAGCCAATTCTGATTCTGAATGTCAATCTTATTAAAATGGATGTTTAACCAGAGGAGTTGGATGTATTCCAAATACAGCAAAATGTGATGAATATAGAGGAACAAGAGATTAATGCACTAAATTTAATGGTTATGTAAGTCAAACGAAAAGTGAAATCTGTTCTGGAGATTTTACAAATACTGATTAATCTAAGTGTAGATCAAGAATATGTTCAGACAATCTAATTGATAATAGTGATGCTTTATGTTCATATTTTAAATCTGGTTGTGTAACAAATGGTTAAGGTTGTATTGATATTAATGCTAGTTGTAGCAGTTATAAAGGCACATAATCATAATGTAGTAAATTCATGGGTAATAATAAAACAGTCTATTGTTGGAATAATATAGATGCTCCTAGTAATTATAATTGTGTTGATAAACAATGTAATCATATTCTTGGCACTTCAGATTAATTATGCGAACAAGCTTTTCCAAAAATATTGATTAATGGAACTTTGACTCTTCTTTGTGTCAGTAATGGTAGCAATTGTATTAAACATCCAGCTAAATGTAGTGATTTTGTAGGAGATAATATTGATTGTTAAAATTTCACTGCCATAATTGATGGACCATGTAGAGGTAATTTAGATAATTCTGTTGGAAAATGTTAGCCAAGATAATGTTATGATGCACCTAAATCATATAATACTGATGCTTAATGTTAAGATTATCATCCTACTTGTTTAACAACAGGATAAGGATGTATGAAATTTCAATTTTATAATACTGAGGGTAAACCAACATTAAAATGCAATAGTATTGTAAGCAATGATGTTTGTGCTTTAAAATTGGGTTGTACTTTAGCCAGTCAATGTTTAACATCAGTTTCATCCTGTTCAGCATTGACATCATAAGCAGTTTGCTAAACAACAGTTTTAGCAAATGAAAAGAAATGTGTATATGATTTATCAATCAATAAATGCAGAGAGTTTTAATGTTCTGATTTTGTTGGAATTAATGAACATGATCAATGTTAGAAATTCAGTAATGATTGTACAACTAATGGAAATGGATGCATAATTATGAAGCCATGTGAATAATATTATGAAAAACTAACATGTCAATCAGCATACTCTAGTGATCCAATTTAAAGGTGTTCATGGATTGATTAAAGGTGTAGATAGAGAGAGTGCAAAGATTTCTATGGTAAAACAAACTCATTATGTAAATCATTCCTTTCGAATTGTATTACTAATGGTTAAATTTGTGTTGGTCCAAAGTATTAATGTTCAGAACTATTAGAAAAAACTTGTTAAACTGATTATTTAGGAAATCCTTGTCTATTCTTCAATGGAATATGTTATTCATACTCTAAGTGCGAAGATCTGAAATTCACATCACATTAACAATGTCAATCATTTTCAGAATTTTGTACTTCCAATTAAATAAATTGTATTCCTATTAATAAATGCCAAAATTATACCTAATAAGAATCATGTAAAATAGGAATTGATGGAAATTGTGGTTGGAATAATGATAAATGCAATTTATTTAAATAATGTTCAGATGTTTTAGGAACATCGACTCCTATTTGTTAACAATACTCTAACATTTGCATTAGTGATGGAGTAAAATGTGTTGAATAAAACATATGCTCATTTTATTCTTCATAATTTTTATGTGAACATAATAAAGGACTTGATGGAATATGTATTTGGATAGATAATGTATGTAGATTAAAATAATGTGAAGATTTAACAACCAATACTGAAACTTTCAACAAATGCTTAAATCAATTAAGTCCCATATAATGTTCTAGTAATGGCACAAAATGTATCTCTCTATAATCCTGTTAGTATTATGATGATAAATCATGTTTTTTAGGAACAGATGGACCTTGCATTTACAAATTACCTTCTGATAGAACTTCAGGATAAGTCTCTTGTAGACTTAAATAGTGTTAAGATGTTATAGGTAAAAATTTGGATGTTTGTTTATCTGCTTTCGATTCCTCATACAAAAGATGTGTCTCTAATGGGAAGACATGTATTGATTTTAATTATTGTGGATAATATACAACTAAAATTGCATGTGCTTCAGGAGGTATAGATGGATAATGTGCTTTTCTACCCATCACTTCCTAATCTAATGATGGTACTTGTAAACGTTTTACATAATGCTCTGATGCCAATAGTGATAAAGATGCATGTCTTTCTAATTCCAAATATTGTTAATGGGTATCATCAGGAGTAACTAAATAATGTATTCCACATACTTGTCCCACTTATAATTCAAAAAAAGATTGTTATCCTGTCCCTAGTTTAGATCAAAAATCTTTCCTTCTTTGTGCTAAAATCAATAACACCTGCGTAGAAGTCCAACCTACTACATTAACCATAGATACATGCTTCATTAATAGTGCCTAAACATATATTTGGAATACTTCTACATCTAAATGTGTTTAATGTAAAATTAAAACAGACAATAGTATTGCTCCGAATTCATAAATAACCACTAAATCCGCTTACAGGCTATTTATTTTTACAATTTTATTCCTTTAGTCTTTTTGACAAGACATTTGTCTTCATTATGAAAAATTATATTTTTATTTTGAAACAAAATATTACAATTTTCAATTTGTATTATATTATATCAAATATATATATTATTTATTTTATTACCGTATTTTTCTTAATTTTGAATTTTCAATCTGTTCCTTCTCCAAAAGTATAAAAACACAATTATTATTATCATAATTCCCAATACACCTAATATTTACTCTAAAAACTTGTCAGCTTATAATGTTACTAAAAGAGTTTAAGATGATATATCATTTGTTGCTCTCAATTTGAATTATACTTCTTTATCAGAATTCCCTAATATTATGTAACCTATACTTCCATAATAATATTCATTATCTTCTGTAACAAAAATTAAATCATTATGATCTTCTATAGTTGTTATTTGTTTAATTTTTTGATTAAAAATCTAATGAGATAGATTATCGAATTAATCATTTAGTTTCGAAGACAAGATAAATGAGCTAAAGTAATCATAATAGATTTATTTTTCCCGTAAATCAAATAAGTAGTTTTTTTGGTAAGATTTCAAAATTATTAAGTTTTTATAACATTCAATGCTTTTTATTTCATCATTTAGAGGGTTTCGAAGCACATATTTAATTATGTACTATTATATAGATTTATTTAACTCAAAAATCAATAAGCTGATTAAAGAAAACTAGTGATTGTTTTGCAATACTTCTATTTATAGAATGTTATCATCTAAACTGCTTGATAATATTTAAAAATTTGTAATCGAAAAATCACTTAAAAATTCATTCCTATGCAGCTCTTCAATTATGATACTTTTTTTCATCAATAAAACCTAGTTTAGGTTTAATTATCCATCTTCAATAGAATATATATTAATTTCAATTTCATTACTAATCCATTTATTACTCCATAAAATTTCTAAATAAAGTTTTTAGGAACCTTAGACATAAATAATGTTTTAATATACTGATTCTAATAAATAAATATCTGTTTGAGAAATATAAAAGTTATAACCAAGAAATTTCACTAATTTACCAGTATAACTCCATGTTTACTCAAAATTATTTACACCCTAGTATTAAAATTGTTTACTGATTCTTTAAATTAATTTCTTCTGGTTTTTGAAATCAAATTAATAAACTTTTACAACTATAAAATTCCCATCAATATCAAAGGTTAATAATTCAGTTTCAAGTTACAAAACTATTGATGTATTATCTTGCTTATTTGAATTAAGCAAATAAAAATTTTCTTCTTTTTTAAAAAAATATAGATTGAGAAAAATTGAATTTAATGATATTTATGTTTAGTAGATACATTTATTCATTGAAGTTTTGTTACATTCCATAATTATTCCATTTATAATATATGGACCAAGTATAGTGAATGTTGATGAATCATCTATTGTTAGATTATGAATTGGTCCATAAAAGTATTTATTGAGGTTTAATAATCTATATTATAAATTTTTTGAATTCAATGTAATTTTTGAAGTTCTTAAAAGAATTTGATAACAAAATTATTTAATTGTTAATTTTAGAGTAAATTTTTTTGTAAGATTTTTTATTTTTTGAGAGCTTGAAATTAAACTAATATTAACAGAATATTATGAATGATCTGGTATAATTCTTAAAGGATTCAATTTAATTTAAAAATATTTCAAATCATAAATCATTAACTATTGAGTGCTATCATAATAATACAAATTATAATCAGAAATAAAGAATATTAATCTGCTTATCTATATAATGTCTAATAATTTTAAAGTAGAATTATAATTTGTAGAAAAAATATGGATAAATGTGAGATTATCTTTTACACTAACTATTGCTAAGTACTTTTCTTCAATAACGTAATGCACTGGAGTTACTAATTAATACCCAATTATTTGATAGTAATAAATAGATAGTAATTCTTCTTGGTTAAGATAAAATATCTCAATTTAATTATTTTCTACATGTACAGTGATTATCTCAAATAAATTCAGTATTATTAACTCAATTTAGATTATTTGTCTTTCAGGCATCTTAAAATGGAGGGTTTTATTCTAAATTTTAACTAAAATAAAGTCAGGATACTAAACTAATTCAAATTTTATGTTTCTGTGATAAAATTTTATAGGTAATTCTAAATATAAATCTTCATTAATGTAATTGTAGATTAATAAATTCAAAATTTCTATTTTAATTAATAGTGGTCTTGCTTCTTAATCTGTAAAGATTAACAAATAATTATTGAATTATTTATATGAGACAATATGAGCGTAAATTTGAATTTCTTCTTAGATAATATCCTTTTCATTATGATATATTAATTTTATTTTTTTATCATGAAGTTTAAAAAAAATAATAAAGTCCTTGTATTAAATTAATTAAATATTTCTTAATTCAAACCTTTAATCTTTGCTTGAATTATTACATTTACTGTAAATTAAATAAATATCATGCTATATTTATATATAAAAATGCTAATATAAGTACATTAAATAAGATTGGTTATTATCTGAGTAACAAAAATAATTGAATTTTTGTCTATCTTAAATACTTTATATTTAGCTTTAATTTGAAAAACTTAGAGAAAAAGATTCATCCAATATTAAGTCGTCTTTTAAAATATTAACATCTTTAATTTAATTACAGTCTTACTAGGTCTAGTCTTGAGTATATATTTCAATTTAATTTGAAATGTTATTGAATTAATCAAGATAAGTGAATTAGTAACAGATGGAATTAATAACCATTTATAAATTGAATATAGTTTAAAATAAATATAGGTATTTTTTTGTTGGCTAGATATAATCTTTAAAAAATTTGTATTTATAAACTTGTATTAAATGTTTTTCGGCATCAATTTAGTAAAAGAAATTAAATTCATCAATAAAGTAAATTGTTGATTGGAGTATTGAAAATGTTTAATTGAAAATAGAGTTTATTCTTAAGAAAATAATTTTTTCATATTGAATAAATAAATAATCATCCATTTATAAAATTTTACGAGGATTTGAAGGAATACTGAATTACTTATAATCTTAATAATGGAAATCAAGAATAAGGTTTTAGCTTTTAAGTAATAAACGCTGATTACATAATTTATTTAATACAAGTTATTTGATTTCATGTTCAAAAAAATATTCTTCAAACTATTTCGTTATATGGTTGTATTTTAAGTAATTAGAATAAAATATTAAATAAATTTATTATTAACAAAAGGAAACATCTTCTACTTATTAATATTAATTTCCTTGTTAAGTCTGGAATAATTCCTCAAAATTTAAAATAGTTTTTATAGTATCATTTTCAAACTTTAAGATTGCCCAATCTTAACATTTATAATATGCAACAAAATATTATTCATTAGAAAATTAAAAATATTATTTTTTGCATTTTTAGATTTATTCTAGAGATAATTGATGATTTATCAATAATGTTGTTACATTTTTTAAATCTAAAAGATAAATAAGTAAATTTGTTTAAGTATGGCATAAAATTACAAAAGATTGATGATGATGTTAAAAAAAATTATCACAATTCATATTAAATTTAGGCTAAAAATAAATGGTATTCTTTTCATTTATACGAATGTCTTAATTTTAATCATTAACAAATGCATCAGTACATTAAATAAAATATTATTCATTATCTAAACTAAGTTTACAAATTATTTTTTAGTATTTTTTATTTTGATTGAATGAATCAATTGTTGTAGTAGATATTAGCTTTCCTTTAAAATTTAATATAATTGCAAAATCTTTAGATATAAGTTATGATGAATATTAATTTATTGAAGAAACGTCATCCATATCACTTTCTGCTGCAATAAAATTTTCTGAATCATAGAAATATGTTTCATTTTTATAACAATATTTGTGTTAACAATTCCTACATGAGCTAAGTTAAATATAGTAATTCAGTAAAGAAATGACAATCAGAAATTTATTTTTGAAAATTTTTAGCATTTAATTAATTTTAATATTGTTTTTTTTTTGTAATCACTGAAGTTTTCAGAACAAAATGAAATTCAACTGTCATTAAAATTTATTTTTATCTTTAATCTTAATTAAAATAATAAAAATATTTATATAGATAAACTTATAAAATATCAATCAAATTTTAATAATTCCATTTAATGTTTATCCCAAATTTTTTTTTCTTAATGTTCTTATTTCAACCATTTTTATATATTTTATATAATTTCTGATAGTCTTTCATTGTATTAAGCCAATTTCTAAAATTATTTGTTCTAATCAATACTTTTTTCCAGTAGATCAATATCATATATTAATTCATTTATTTGAGAAAACTCATAAAAATTCAAATTAGCATTTAAAGCAACTTCATTTAAAAAACTAATATAAAATTAAAAAATTTACCTCTTTAATTAATAAATTTTTTGATAAACTTTCTCAACCTTTTTATCTTCTAAAGTTGATTTTCCAGTCAAATTCATTCTCAACTTATAATAAGTAATGAGACTATTAGTTTCATCTTATTTGACTTTAGTATAATTTTAAGAATAATTTGTATTTAGACTGTAACTTTCAACAATACCAAAAATACCATCTGAAGACATAAACTAATGGAGAATATTTTTAGTATCCGTCATTATATCATGATTTAAAATTTTTTCTTTTTCAAGCTCTTAAAATATATTTAGGAGATTTTAAGAAAAAATATTAGTTTAGTCTATTGTTAATTATTTTAGATTTATTATTAATACCTTAAACAATTTTAAATAATAATTAAGATTATGTTCTTAATTTTCTCTTGATTTTAAGATTATATTTATAATAACTTTTAACACACATTCACAAAGCAAAGGAAAAGTGGCAAAGTCCTTCATGAAATTATTGTTATCTAATATTAATTCCTCATTTTAATATAAATGAATTTATATATATTCGAAAAGTTCCCTTGTTAATATCAGATTGAATTACATATACTTAATAGGATTCTGAATATTTTGTTAATTCTCTTCATCATAATATAATTTTTTTAACTTAACATAAGCATCTGAATATTTTTTCCAAAATTCAATTCTATCCTCGTTTTTTTAAGCTTTTGACGATTCTGTGTCAATGCCTTCTTCTTTTTCTTCTTAATTAATTTATTATTCTTAAAATTTGATAAATTCAAATTCTGTTACATCTAATTTTATATGATTATTTTCTTTCAAACTTGCAAAAGACAAAAGTAAGCAAAGAACTATATAAGTAACTTCATATTATAGTTAAACATCCTAATATAAGCTTAAAAAATCCGATCTTACTGATTTGGATTGAATAAATTTAAACCAAAGTATAATGGCAAAAATGCTCACACAATTTCTTTTAACTTCATAAAATCTTAAATGATATGACACATCAACTGCTTAAAGGAATTAAAAATTATTGTTTAAACTAATATTTGTAAATGATAATAAGAAATTTAGATTTATGATTACTTTGAGCAAATTATTTTTATTTTCTTTTTTATTTTTATTTTTATTTTCTTTTTCCTATTTAGTTTTTTACATTAACTTTTTTAATGATTCAATAAAAATCAACTCTTCTTCTTTTGTTACCTCAATTTTAACTAATTTCTTTTCCTTTTCATTTTGGAAGATTAGTTTTGTACAAATTTAAGTTGGCTTTATGTTGAAAATTAAATTAATGAATTTTTTTTAAATTTACTGAATTACTTTTATTGAATCAAATAAATAACAACCACCTTCCAAATTAATTGAACCTTCCTTGTTGAATAATTTCAAATAGCTATCTTTTTAAATAACAGCAAATGCTTAACCTATAAAATTTAGAGAGTCAGATTAAAATATGTAAATTTTAAATACTATACTAATAGCTCTAAATAAAGAATTCTAAAAGTTTTTTCTAAAGTCAAATTAATATAATAATGATCCAGACAATAATAAAAACATAATTTTAAAACAAGCTTGCAATGATATATTTTCGAATATTTCATCCATTTTTCGATTCTCAAAATGAAATTTAAATAGTACATAAAATAATGTAGTATATTATTCTACTTATTTAATATGATCTTATTTAAAATCGATATTAAATAATTCTTCAAGGTGTTTTAATTAGTTATTTAAATTTAATGAAAATACTTTATTTAATTTTTTTAAAGTTATATCAACAATATTCTATGTTTAATTATTATTATTTAGCATATTTTATAAAAGTTTTTAGAATTCTTGAATTTATAATTCTTGTTCTACACAAAATAAAATTTTAACATAACTTTTACTATTCAATTCATTCTCAATCTTTTTCTTACATTAACTTAAACCATCTTAATTTTGTTTCTAAAAAGTTTAAAAAGTATGAAATACATGAGTTAATAGAAAGATTTAAAATTAAGTATCATTTATCTATTTATATTTCTAACTATTATAATATTAAAGTTAATCTTCAGACAAATAGAACATTTTTTTTTTAAATATAAAATATTATAAATCTAATTAACTACCAATTTTATTAATTAAATTGTTTGGATCATGGGGAGATAATTCAAGTTGATAAAGATGAGTTCGATTGGTTTTTAAAATTTTTAAAAGCTCAAAACATTCAATGGCTTCTAAATATGATACAACAAAATATTAAATATCTCTATTAGCATAATCTATCAAAGATTTCTAAAATTCATTCTCTAAAAATTAAAAATAAGAATTTTCTTTCTTAATACTTTATCTTTTCACTTCCTCTATTATAATATTTGAAAAAATCTAGACTGTATCGAATAAATTAGTATACCAATCATTTTATTTAAATGAGGAATTTAGGAATAATTTTATTTATTTATTAAAAGTATTAATGAATTAAGTTCTTGTCCTAATATAAGAATTACATAAATCTTCTAAATTATGTTAAATTTTCATCTAAGGTAGTTATTTAAATATATTATTTTGAGATTTCTCAATGAATTAGAGTTCTTCTTTTAACTTGGAATGATTTATTAAATTATTCTTCTTAGCATAATTTAGTACTTCTAAATAAAAACAACTATTATCAACATCAATTCTTAATAATGAAATACATTTATCGATATTAGATAGTTTTAATTAAATAATAGCTGCCATCAATGTAAGTTGAGCTTTTTCAGCTGCCTTAGCTGCTTCAGGTAGTTTATTTTTATTTAAAAAGATAATGATACTTTATTCAAAATATTTTCCTGAATAATATGAATTAGCAGCTATAATTTAATCATTAAGCTTATTTTCAAATAAAATTGCTGCATCTTGAAAATATTTTCTATAAGCAGAATAGGCTTAATCAATTTCTATTTGATTGAATTAATTATTTTCTTGTTATTAATTTTTTAATATCTTGTAATACATTTTTTTTTGCTTTCCTTTTTCAAGAAACACTTAAGCTTAACATAAATCAATCATATATTAATTGTTTTGAGTTTTTTAAAACATTTCAATGCTTAATCATAAAATTACTTTTCAAAATATAAATATCCTTGCTTTTCCCATATCTAAGTATTGATTTCGATATCTTCTATAAATTTTTATTATTAAGCTTATTTTTGGTTGTTCATTTAAAATTTACATTCATTATCATTTTATTAGATAATATCACAAACTTAAAGTTATTAAAATATTCTTTCAATTTCTTTTCTTTGAGTTGGATTTACATCATAAATATAAAGTCGTTTTTTAGTTCTTGTTATAATTACATATAAGGCTTTAAGTTCTTCACAGATACTAGAATAATCATTAATATTTTTTTTATTAATTCTTTAATTAAGTNTATCGAATAAATTAGTATACCAATCATTTTATTTAAATGAGGAATTTAGGAATAATTTTATTTATTTATTAAAAGTATTAATGAATTAAGTTCTTGTCCTAATATAAGAATTACATAAATCTTCTAAATTATGTTAAATTTTCATCTAAGGTAGTTATTTAAATATATTATTTTGAGATTTCTCAATGAATTAGAGTTCTTCTTTTAACTTGGAATGATTTATTAAATTATTCTTCTTAGCATAATTTAGTACTTCTAAATAAAAACAACTATTATCAACATCAATTCTTAATAATGAAATACATTTATCGATATTAGATAGTTTTAATTAAATAATAGCTGCCATCAATGTAAGTTGAGCTTTTTCAGCTGCCTTAGCTGCTTCAGGTAGTTTATTTTTATTTAAAAAGATAATGATACTTTATTCAAAATATTTTCCTGAATAATATGAATTAGCAGCTATAATTTAATCATTAAGCTTATTTTCAAATAAAATTGCTGCATCTTGAAAATATTTTCTATAAGCAGAATAGGCTTAATCAATTTCTATTTGATTGAATTAATTATTTTCTTGTTATTAATTTTTTAATATCTTGTAATACATTTTTTTTTGCTTTCCTTTTTCAAGAAACACTTAAGCTTAACATAAATCAATCATATATTAATTGTTTTGAGTTTTTTAAAACATTTCAATGCTTAATCATAAAATTACTTTTCAAAATATAAATATCCTTGCTTTTCCCATATCTAAGTATTGATTTCGATATCTTCTATAAATTTTTATTATTAAGCTTATTTTTGGTTGTTCATTTAAAATTTACATTCATTATCATTTTATTAGATAATATCACAAACTTAAAGTTATTAAAATATTCTTTCAATTTCTTTTCTTTGAGTTGGATTTACATCATAAATATAAAGTCGTTTTTTAGTTCTTGTTATAATTACATATAAGGCTTTAAGTTCTTCACAGATACTAGAATAATCATTAATATTTTTTTTATTAATTCTTTAATTAAGTTTGATTTATTTAATTTTCACTTTTCCATTTTGATTTATTTCAAAAGAATTTAAGTCTGATTCTTAATTTTTATGTTCTATAATGATGATGTTAATAAATACTTGTTATTTAATTTTCATAGATCATTTTATCTTAAAGTTGATCTTCAATATCAATGCACTATAATAATTCCCATTATGATTCTAAAAATTCATGTTGTGCAAAAAAATTATACATAATGACATCATCAAATTCTAATCCTTTAGCTTAAAATATAGTAAAGACTTAAGCATCATCAAGAAGTTATGGTAATTTCTCTTTTGCTTGTTCATCTCTTACAATCACAACTTAATTATATCCAAATTCAACTTATTAACAATCATCACCAATATATTCATCTTTTAACTTAGATAACATTAAATTTAGTTACGATTTCATAAATATTTAAGGTTTTGGACCTTAGATATTTGATATTTCTTTAGCTAACTTATCAATAGAAAATGGAAATAATAATTCTAAAAGTCTAACAATACAATTTGCTAATTATAATATACTATTATGTGTTCTAAAATTGATCATTAATTTATGAACTTAGAATTATTCAACAGTATTTATACCTACCTTTTTTGTATTTCTAAATTGCTATTCTAAATCTTCAAATCTAAATCCAATTCCTTTAAGTATACTTTAAGCAGCATCTCCACTATAAACTACTTTCTATTCAGTTAATCTATTGAAAAGACCTATCATTGCTTAAGGTATATCCTATACTTCATCAATATACATATTATGTAAAGGAAAGAGTAATATTGGATTATTTTCCATGTTAAATAACATATTATTCACTATATCTATCTAATCAATATATAGGTTATCATTTTTCCATTTTTCATAATCAACATATACTTTATATATGTTTTATATTTGTTACTCTGAAAAGTTATTTGAGACTCTTTCCTTATATTTTTGTATTGGAAGAGCATAATTTGAATATTTATATGAAAATTAAGATCCTTTTATTAATGAATTTATTTAGGTCCATATTAAAGAGGCTGAAGCATACGATTCTTTATTTAAATTAATATTTTATTTTTTAGACCAATATTTTTCATAAAATAAATTAAATGAAATCTCTGGAATATTAATTTTCTAATTACTATCTAAATTATCAAAATATTTGCTTATATTAATCGCATTATAAAATTTAATACCTACTTCTATTTAATATTTCTTTTTGAATTTTTCAATTCTGTCTTTTGAAAAATATGGAAATTATAGCTTTTAATCCATCAAGATTAACAAATTTAAAGTTGATAAGAAACATGGAAACTTTAAAGTATTCAAATTTTAAAAATCTCCTTAATTCTTTTATATAAATTAAATATTCTATTTTTTATCATTTATCTCTTACACTTCCTCATCCTTTAATATAGCATTAATTATTTCATTATCAGTAATACAATTTTCAATTTAATTATCATTTAAACTATCCTTTTTAGCTTTAATAACCATTTCAATAATTATAAATTTTAGTTTTTGATAGTATTCCTCAACTTTATCAACTAATTTTTAATTAACTGTTATAAATATATTTCTTATAGAAATATCTTAATCATCATAATCCTTAACAAACACTTGTTCTTCTAAATTAAGAAATTTTCTTCTTATTTTCTATTAATATTATGAAATAAATATTGTTAATGCTGAACAAGTTGTTTTACCAGTTCCACTTCTACCAATAACTAAACAATTCTCTTAACTCTCTATTACTTTAGATTCCTCTTATGATAATCTAATTTTGAAAACAGGAGACTTTTAAAGAAATTATATAAGTTTCTAAGACAATTCAAAATCCTAATATTATTTAATAATATTGTAATTAAAATAAGCTATTTCTTTAATCTTTTTAGCTATCAACTATTATTTGATAAATATTTTATCTTCATACTATTTTTTTGATTCATTATAATATAAATCATTTAAAGAACACCTCATTTTCTCAAAAATTAGAGGCTTCCATTATTAATTTTAATTGGAATTAAATAACAATTAAGGCCATCCTTTGTTTTCTGGGTTAAATAGATATTGTTAAGTTTTTGAATTTGAAGGTGTTTTGGGACCTTAAAAATATATAATTTATTATATTACTAATACAAATTATCTTATTTTAAATCCAATTAAAATTTTATTATAAATCTAATTAATAATTTAAAGCTGAATTATAAATTTCTTGCTATTTATAACAAAAAAATATATCTAAGAAAGTTATTGTGTGTTTAAGTTCCTAAAGCAAAAGGTTATTTTTTTATTCTTTCTCCTGTTTATCATTTTTCAATCCCACTTCAAATAATATATAGTAGTTTTGTTTATGAGCAAACAAAAAAAAACATTAATACATGTTATCATAAGGCATTTACAAGATATTCAATAGTTCTTTAGATTAATTACTTTCAAAATGCCCGTCTGTTATCATTAATAATGATGTTAGAATAGATTAAAGCTTTTAATGTTGACATATTTTAACAAAAAAATTAACTAAATATTTTCAATATCTTTACCTGGAATATAGTAGTTCCATAAAGAATGTTGTATATCATCTAATAATCTCTAGATTTTAGTTGTATTTTAATCATTATTAAGCTCCTGATTCAATAGTTGATACAAGATTTCTTTTGCAGAAACCTATTATTTTTTGTTCATCTTTTATTAAGTTTTTAAATAGTTGAGCAATTTTGTTTTATAAAATTTATGTAAAGAAGAGATGTCTATTGAGTTTTTTTTTTTAGATGTACTTTATTTCTGCATTTATAATTAAATTACGATTTAATTGAAATTCCAAGTAATTTATAAAATTTAGAAAATCAAAACTTAATTAATTTTATAATTATACTATTATATGTTAATCGTTCTTTTCTTCTAATTTGAGAAAAAAAGAAATTAAATTTCAAATTCTATTTAAACGAAGTTACTTTACTGTTTTTAGTAAAAAAGAGAAATTTTGTAAAAAAATACAAATGGTTGATATTTATCTTCATACAATATATTTTTAGTCGTAAAAAGATTGTAATCTTATATCTTAATTAAATTTAATTTATGGATATTATTTATGATAATTTTAATCTTTAATATGAAAGATAAAAATCAATCAACATTAAATTTGACTTTCAAAAGAAATAGTTTAAAAAATCATCTAAATTGTTATTTTAAAGTTTGTTTTTTTATAAAAATACTTTTGAAAATTGATTTAGATATAATTTGTAATATAAGTTAATTGGAATCTAGTAAATAAAGAATGAAAAAACTTTTGGTCAAAATGTATGATTTAATTTATAATATTAAAATGAACACGTTTTGGAAAGTTGAATTCTGAAATTAGTTTATATAAGAATAAATCTATTTTAAAAGAGTTGTTGAAAATGGATAGAGATAAGTTTAAGAAATTAGAATTAATTAAATGTAGTGTTTAGTTATGATTGGATTTAAATATAATAAAAATAATATATAAATGGCTTAACAAAAAGGAAAGAATAAGATAAATCATAGATAAAGGTAGGGTGATTGGATTTGTAGTAATTGCAACAATATGAATTTTGCCTTTAGAGATACTTGTAATCGATGTCATGCTATGAAGAATGTGAAAAATAATGAGAATAAAGGATTCAAATCTGCCCTATTTTTAATTGAGAGTAATGGAGATATACCTCCAATATCAGATAGGTCAAATAAATCATCAGGTGAAAAAACAGATATTGGAACTAATTAGTTTTCATTTGATAAATTACCTTCTATGGAACCAATTTTAAAATAGATAACTAAAGAAACATGTATAATCAATTAAAATATGAAGAACCAAAATATGATTTGTTTGAGTTTGAATGGCATTGCTAGTAATGTTAAAAGATAAATTAATACTACAAAATTCATTGTGTAGAATGTGGAGCTTAAAAGTACAGAAAATCTACGATTTGAGCTATAACAATAAAATTTTGATTTTATTCTGATATTTAAATTGTTTTTTGTATAGAGTAAGATTTAAAGAAAGGAAATAGAGATAAATAAATACTTGTTAATCTTAAGATGATCATATGAATAATTAATTAATATAATTTTATTAATAAAAATTTAACTGTTAATGAAGGACATCTCAAAAAGAATCTTTGAAAAAGAAAATTAAGCAGAAGTATCTAATGATCCAAGACAATAGAATAAATCATTAACTTAATTAGTATCATTGACAATGATAAATAATACTCGAAGTATGATATGATATGTAAAACTTCATTAGAAAACGAATTTAAGGGTATAGACATAAAGAATAATAATATTTCTAATAGACCACTTGTATTTTGTAAACCTGAGTAGAAAGTATAAACTAAAACTATTTCATATCCATTGAATAAATGTAGTGAAGCTCAATCAAAAGAATTAAATAATTTAATATTGAATTATTCTGAACCTATTTTAGAATACTATTAATAATTAAATGTATACAATTTTATTTTTATTTTAAGATTTAAACTCCTAAAAATAGTTTATAAAATCATACAATAAATACTAATTTAAGAGCTAAAATGATTGATTGGATGATTGAAGTTCTTTCATCGTATAAATGCAAGGATTAAACTTTTTATTTATCAATAAGGTTGATGGATTTGTATTTATCTAAAACAACTTTAAAACATGTTTCATCAGATTTACATTTGATAGGAGTTACCTCAATCTTTATGGCTTGTAAATATGAAGAAATTTACCCAGTAAAATTACAAGTAGTCCATGAAAAAATAGCACACAAAAAATTAACAAAGGAACAAATAAGAGAAAAAGAGGCTAATGTGTTGTAGGTTCTAGATTTTAATTTAAATGGAACTACCATATTAGATATATTAACAATGGTTTTATCAATATTAAATCTTCATTATTAGTTATATGATGCAGCTAATTTATTAGCAAAACTAGTATATATTAAAATTATAAAATAGGCTTTATTTTATTATGAATTTGTCAATATGTACTCTTATTTAGAAATAGCATGTGCCGTATTAATTATTAGTACAAAGACTATAGAATAGATTGATTAAAGTTTATCATCAGAAGTGACAATTCCGCTTATTATTTCTACATTGAAATTAGATTATATAGATTCAATTAAATGTGCTAATTAATTACTAGAATTCTCAAAAGGATTTGAGAAACAGTTTCCTAATTTAGAAAATCTAAAGAAATTCAGTAAGTTTCAAATTTCAGATATCATGAAAACATAGTTTTGATTATATTACTTTCATTTATTTTTTCGAGTTCTTTAGATTATAAATAAATAAAATTTACTCCATCTTAAAGTCAAATGATTACTAATTGACATAATTATTGGAAAGAAAAAGAATTGTAAAAAATTGCACATTAAAAATAGTTAATTTTTTGATTAAAATTAATACATTAAAAATAGTTAATTTAGTAATCAAAATTAATACATTAAAAATATACCATTTACTAAATTTTAAATTATTTGTGACATTCTTGAACTATTTTATTTAAAGAGTAATATTGAAGCTCAGCTCTTTATATCAAAATAACTAATTAATAAATATGAATAAAAATATAAGAATTTTCTTTTTTTAGAGATTTAAACTTTGAATATTATAATTATATTTTTCACGTTCTTATTTAAGTATATGGTAAAGGATAATACTGATTTTAATATGGTTGTTATGTGTAGGAATAGTATGGGATTTATTAGGAAAGCGAGTCAAATTCTTATTTGATTAATCCTTGAGGTTTTGAATCAACGATTGATTTAAAAACATATTATGTGGAGATCAATAAGTTCTGAAGGATGGACTAATACATTAAATTAGGATAATTCATATGAGATGCAAGTTCAGAAGTGAATTATAAGCATTAAGATTGTAAAAGTGAATTTTATTGGTTCGCTAATGCTGTTTGATCAAGTATCGACGGCTGTTTGTCAACGTATATCTAAATACAAAATGACTAAAAAAATACCTATTGAATATCAGATTAGACACTTAAAGGTTAGATTTACATAGTGAAAGGATTTACAACACTAATTTTAAGAATATTTTGAATTTTTAACTTCTTCTTTCTAGTTTCTTTTTTTCCTATACGTCCATCTTTTTCATAAGTCTTGAATATTGTTCTTACAGTACAATACTTCAATTACAATTTATTAGACACCTAAAGAGATATTAATTGAAAAAGGGATAATAAGGATATAGATGATGAGAGTAAGAATAGTGATTTTGTTATACCTCTTGAAGTGACAGCTATTAATTCAATAGCATATCAAGTACTTGTTTTCTTTATTCACATTCGATTTTTTGATATTATTTACTTTTCTTTGGTTGGTCTTAAGTATTGATGGATTTGCCCATATTTTAAGAATCTTTTGTAATTATTATTTTAAAAAAATATTATCTGATCAGATTTGGTTTTTAATTTAAAAAAAGATTCATTAGTGATTATATAAAAAATGAGATTTTAAAATATATTATTAAATTTGAGGTGTGTATTTTGAATTCAAAAAGCCTATGGTATAACCTACTTGTTGTTTTTACAGATATCATATTTTGTTATAGACATTTCATTTTATTTTGTGTCCTCCAATATTTTTGCAAGAATTTATAGAACAAAATATTTAAAATTATTATGAATATATGATTCTAAAAATACCATTATATTAACCATGAAAAAATAAGAAGTATATAACTTCAGTTTAAAATTTGGAAGAATTCATTAAAAATAATTGAATTACCTTTAAATAATTTATTGATTAAGTTTAAATATTTTATCATACTGATGGATATGATGTTAGGATCAAAGAATTTATTTATATTTATAAATTTGACTAAAGACTTTACTTAACAAGAAAAATAAAATAAAAAAATAAATTAAATTAATTTATAATCAATTACAATATTAATTTGAATACTGCTGAAAATATTTTATACATAACAATTTATTGTCTATATAAAATTATAGAAGTAGATATAAAAAGTTAATTAATTTTAAAGGATCAAAGAAATTATCTAACTTTATAATGAGAAAGGAAGAAGACATTTCAGGGAAAAAAAAGTTAGTAAATTTTATTAGAAAATAATAAAATTTTTTATCCTATAAATATTAAATGATAAAAATGGATTAATTTTTATACATTATTTAAAATGAATTCACTTGTTCTATCATATAGTCTTATAAATATTAAAATTTTCAAGTTATAATTATTTCATTCTTTACTATAAATTTAAATTTCATCTAAAAATTACAACTTCGTATGTAACTTTTTCTAACCATAAATTTATACATAAAGCATGAGAATTTTGATTACAATGAAAAGGCAATTCTCTAGTACTATTATAGAACTTCTTGATATCTTTTTTAATGCTTATTTTCTTTTATAATATCTATAATAACAATAAAATACATTAATTTAGGTTAAAATAATAACTCCATTAGTAATAATAATAATTATAATATTTCATCTTTTAAATATTTTTGCTCAAGTGATTTCGAAATCTAATAATTGATTAAATTCAGTAAACATATTCATAATAGCAAATTTTCCTTTATCTATGTTAAAAGGTTTCAGATATTATTAGAAGGAATTCTAAAAAATTATTTTTTAAAACTTATTATATAATACATAAATTTGTATTAAATCTAGGCTATTAAAAAAGGAATAAAATTATAGCCTAAGTCTTATGAACTAAAATTTCTAAACCAGCGTAGTTATTTGTCTAATAAATTTTAACTTTTAGAAGGAATTATTAGCTGTTAAATGAAGAAGCAAGTATATATTTTATGATTAATTTATTGGTAATTTAACAATAATTGGAATTACAAAGGAACTATAATCCACTTTAGCACAATTCTTTAAATAATATCATCGATATAATAAACATGAATGAATTAGTTATTTTTAAATTTGATATTTTATATCTTTTTCCTTCAAAATTAAATTTTGTAGTGTTATAAATAATTTAACAAAAGAAGATGATATTTTAAGAAATCTAAGTTTTCTATAACTAACCCTCTAAGTATTATATGTAAAATAATTACTTTGTTGTATGAAAATTGTATCCATTAATTAGGTTTATTGGCAAAGTCTTAGAAATTATTAATTAAAAATAAAAATTTTGAATTTATCATATAGAGTTTAATTTGAGTAAAAGAAAACGAGATAAACTCCTCATTAGTTATGATTTTATAATTATCGATGGATTTATTTATTTATAAACTCACCTATAAATATTGAATTATCAATGAAATTTATTTCAATAATTTAGGATGGACAATGTGTGACTAGGAGAATAATATAAATTATTCTAGTTAGTAAATATAGTCTAAATTCTGTTATGATAATAAATAAGAGGGATTATAAAAATCATTAAAGTTCTTCTGGTTTGAATGGCCTTCTGCATGTTGGACAACTCTTAAGTCCAACTTATTAAACTCCCCATTAATGAATGCACGAATTATGAAATAGATGACTACATTTAACAAATTTATTTACTTACATTCTATCGTTATTACAGCTTTATTTTTAGTATTAAGTCCTTCAAAGCATATTGCACATTTTTCTGGCTCATTTTCAATCTATTATTTTATATTATAAGATGTTTTACTTCGGGCTGTTTCTTAGGAACAACATTTGGATTATCAATTCCTTAATTTTTTTTCTTTCTTAAATAATAGATGATTATTAATAATATAGTAATTGGAATAAGAGTAGTCGGAAGAATTATGTAAAGTAATTTATTAGTTTCATCATTATCATCTTTTTAATCATATTCATATATAACTGCATCATCTTAACTAACCGCTATTGATAATTGAACAGAATCAAAAGTTTCAGTATCTTTGGCAATTGCAAACCATAGAATTTGTTATTAAACATTTAAATTTGATGGAATTTTAGTTGTAATTATCTGAGTTCCTTGTTCAATGAGAAAAGTGTGAAAATATTGTTACGTATAATCATTAAGTTATTATACAAGTGCCTTTGATTTATAAATCCAGACTTCTAAACAGTTATTACTATTATCAACCTATTCAGAGTGTGTATCATTACTATATTAAGTCAGATCAATTCTTAATGTGTGTTCCATTAAAGGTTTAAGATTTATATAGAAAAAAGTGAAAGATGATGAAGTATTAAAATAGAATTATTTTTAAGTTCCCAATAATAATTGTTCAGCAATTTAATGACAATCATTACCAATAAAAGAATTATAGCAACTGCATCCATTAGCCTTATGTTATAATAATTTATACCTCACATACTCCATTATTAGAACAGTCATTATTACACTCCTCTTCAGAACTTCCACTAATTGAGATTTAAAATTAATTATCTGTATTGTTAACTCTTACAGATATATAGATATCTTGCAGTTCTGACTGTAATTTAAGAAATCTATTCTTTCTGTTTTCTAAAGAACTAATAGAATATAATTAATATAGGATATACCTTATTCTATCGATCTTTTCTCCTTATTTATATGATTATATCAGACTATCATTTGGGAATTATCCATAATCTGCCATTAGTATTAGAGAAGGATCATTTTATTTAAGATTAATTCTAACATAGCAATAAGATGATAGGACATTTTTAATTATAAAAAGTGTTTCATTTTCATTGCTTATATTTTTCTACCATAAATTATTATATTCATCTAAGTCTATTTCGAAACTTGAGGCATACTTATCTGAGTTTTGTAATTAACTTCTTGTGATTTAAATAATTAAGAGAAAATTAAATATAGGAATTAACATTTTACTTAATTAATGAATATTAAATTACATTATCATATTTAAATAATAATTATACACAAAATATAATATGTTTTCTCAAAATAAAAAACTATTTCCATTAATTAACGATCTTATCTTAAAAATGTATTATATAGTAAATGATATTATTAAATAGTAAATTAGTAATTTATAGAGAGTAGTTCATATATAATAATAATAATAATATTAATTTACAAAAGAGGATGATGTAAATTAGAATTGTATTAAAATAAAACTATTCATAATTAAACTTTTTTTCTTCTTTAAGCAGCACTTTCATCTTCATCTTATTCTTCTTCTTCTTCTTGTCTTGGTTATGAGATAGATTTTTTGTTTTCTCTTTCTTCAATTCTTCTACCTTTACGACTTACTTCAGCTTTCATTCTTTCTTGATCTTTAGCTTTAAAAATATCAAATAAAAATAATCTATAAACACAGTGGAATTCTTTGATATCATCAAAATGTAGAGGTCTTCCTAATTCAAAATCTCCTTTTAGAGATACTCCTTTGTTTAATTAAAAATAGAGAGTTAAAACAAAGTTTTAGGTTTGATCAACATAAACTTCAAAATTTCTTTAACTAATTGATCTATGCATCATATCAAAATAACTATTATATGTTCCTTCTAATCCACTTTTTTTACGTTTTTATTCAAACTTTTCTAGATCAAAATCTTCAACCCAGAAATCAAAACCATTAGTGACTTATATTTTACAACGTCCTTTACTTTCCATAGGTTGAAAGTATATTATATACTCTTTTTAATTGTATATGATAAGAGTATTAAGGAATGCTAATTTACCTAATGCTCTACAAAATTCAACTCTTCTTTCTGTCATAAATAATTAATAAAGTGTAGATGTGTGTGTTTAAGGAAATAAAAATAGTTAATATCATGGTTATTATTGTATAATTTAATAATAAATTTAATTAATGATGGAAACAGAAAACTAATAAATTGGTAATTAGATAAAACCAAAGACAACAATATTATGTTCAATATGTGATCTTGCATTCATTCCAAGCGAATAGAAGACATTAATTTGCACAAATTGTATAATCAATTAGACTGATATAACAATTGGGATAACAAAGGAAGGGATAGTGAATTATTGTAGATTCTGTCATCGTTATTTGAGACCACCTTGGACATTATGTGAGAGAGAATCAAAAGAATTATTAAGTATTTGTTTAAAGAGATTGAGAGGGTAAAATGATTTGAAATATATATATATAGATTGAATAAAGTAAAAATAATAGATGCTTCATTTGTGTATACAGAACCAAGTTCAAAGAGAATAAAGGTGAAATTGACAATTTAGAAGGAAGTATTGAATAATACAAATATGCAATAAGTAGAACATTAAATATAAATAATGATTAGACATTTATATGTGAATTTGTAGAACATTATTAATAATGTGAAGATTGTAAGAAAGAGTTTACTCCTCATACTTGGGGAGCAGCAGTATAAGTTCGTTAGAGAGTGGATCATAAAAAAACATTTTTTTATTTAGAATAATTGTTATTGAAGTATAATGCCAATGATAAAGTTTTGAAAATAGAATAGGTAGATGATGGATTAGATTTCTTTTATAAAACAAGATCGCATGCAACCAGATTGGTAGAGTATCTATCAACAATATTACCAATAAGAGTAAAATAATCGAAATAATTGGTATCACATGATGCAAGTAGCAATCTCTTTAATTATAAATATGTTTATGCTGTAGATTTACCTAAAGTTTGTAAGGATGATTTGGTTATTCTTCCATTAAAATTATGTAAGGAATTAGGAGGAGTAGGTAGAGTATAATTATGTTATAAATTAACAACTATTATTCATTTAATAGATCCATTATCGATGAAATGTTCTGATTTATCTATTGAGGCATTTTCTTTATATGAAAATGAGATTGAAGTATATAATCTTAAAACACATTAACATGAATTTACTGTTATTGATGTTGAAAGAATTCATACTAGAAATTTAAATGAAAGTTACATATCAAGTTCATAAAATGCATTCCTACCTAAATTGACTAAAATATCAATTATAAGGGAATCAAATAATTATTTACCAATAACAATTAAAAGTCATTTGGGAGATATACTTAAACCAGGATAGGTGGCTATTGGATATGATTTAACATAAATGACAATAGAATCTTTGGAAGATATTTCTAATTATCCTGAATGTATTGTGGTTAAAAGATAAATTAATAAGGAAGCTAGAAAATTGAGAATATTTAAATTAAAGAGATTGGAAGCTTAAAATGTTATGGAAGAAGAAGGAGCAGAAAGAAAAAGAAATAATTGTATTATTATATTATAATTTATTTATTTTAGAAAAGAAATAAAATGATTAAGAAGAACAATTTGAAGAGTTTTTAGATGATGTTGAAAAAGATAAGGAATTAAGAAAGAATATCAATCTATATAGAGATGAAGATAAAATTAAAAAATTGAGTAAAGAAGACTTAAAAAAGAAATAAAAAAAACCAGTTTAATAATAATAAAAAAAGAATAATGATGATGAATGGTAAGATGATGATGAAGATGAAGATGATATAAAATTAGAAGATTTGATGAAAGACTTGAATTTAGAAGATAAACCTGAATTAGCTGAACCTGTAGATGAAGCATAAGATGAAATCAATTAATTTATTACCAAATTAGAAAAAGTAACTATAGAAAAATGATGTCTATAAAAATTCTTATTTTTAAAACATATTAACAATAATTTATAAATTCATTTAAATTTAACTAATTCTGTTTATTATTCTTACATCTCTTGTAATTCTCTTCTTTTCTATTACTATTACTACTCAGGTAGACATATCCATAAACATATTAAACTGATAGCCAATATCAAACTTATTCCAATTACTATTAATATATAATCTAATTTCCAGTCTTCCTCTTTATTATTCACTTCCTCTTTACTCTTCATATGAGATAATTCAGATGCATTATATATTAAATAGACATCATAGAAATAAGTATATGGAATTTCCTTATTCTCATAATAGACTTAAAACACAAGTAAACCATATATTGATTCTCTGTTTTTTAGTACTACAACATACTCTCTCTAGAATACCTGTAAATTACACAGTTTCCTCTTTCTCTTTCACTTCTTAAATTGATGAATTGTAGAAGATAGAACTACCAATATAACTTTATAGAAACTCTATATCTATCTCACACCCCATAGCTCTCAACAACTCTTTTCGATTAGAGATATGCAACTTATAACTATAACTTATTTTATATATCTTACATCAATTTCTTTATATTTAAATTGCCAGTCTTTCTTCTTCTCATAGTATTGATATTTACTTCTATTTGTTCATTTGATAATTCAATTACTTATAATCTTTAATTCCTCAAGTACCATTGATCATGTGAATATTATAAATGTGGTACCAAACTCAATATACTAAATGGAAATGGTTCACTTCTATCTCTTAATTTAATCTTAAAGAACATTTCTCTCTAAGATGCAACAGAATTTCTCTTCATTTCACTCTTTCCCAAACAATCCAATATCTCAAATTATATTTCCTCTCCAACTATAGTTTATATATTGTATTATTGAGTGTCTTCAATTATTTCAATATAATGACTATTAAAATTAATATACTTTATTTAATTCTCATTATTGTAAACATCCATTATTAAATGATAAGTGTCATTACAATAAAGAACTATTTTGTATGGTTATTATATATCATTAAATTAATAAATTAATCTCCTATTTGATTTATTCATTCTTAATTCCGATTTTGGAATTATCCTTGTTGAATCTACGTCATAAACATCAATCATAATATCTGATTAACTCGATACTTATATTGCATAATCTTAATCCATTCCTACTATTTAAAATGTAAATTAAATCTTATTCTTTTCCTTTGTATTTTTACCCATAAATACTCGACCTAATTATAAGACAGTAACACTGTCTGAATTGCTCAAATGAATCGAATAGTATGAATTCTTACCAATTCTTAATTAGCTAGTTTCATTTATTGCAATTATGTTATGAGAATAACCCAGATTCATTTTGTTTATTTCCTTTAATTATTTTGTATAGAATGTCAATTAAATAGATTTTGAATATACAAATAGATTCAAATCTCCTAGTTAAAGATTGAATTCACAATTATTCAAACAATAATCATAATATATTCTACCATATTCAATTTATTAAGCAATATTATTATATGTTAGAAGAATTGATAATATTGTTAATCTTATGGGATTTAAGTTCAAAATATATGTGCAAGAATCACACAAATTTTTATCAATTTAAATTACTCCTCCAAATAGATCATTGTTATTAGACAACTCTATTATTTCATCTTACTCCTCAATACTTATCGATCCTATTATGTTCCTAATATTGTAAATCAATATTCTGAATGATTATTAATGGCTATTCATATAATAATACTTAACTTTATCATTAATGACTGAGTCAATGTGTTATCCATTCTATATGTAATGTAATTTAAATCCACCAAGATGTAATAACAATTCATAAATACAATCTTAGGCTTCTACTCCAATCATATATTAACCTATATTGTTCTCCTCGAAGATTTCCAGAGTATCTGATTAAAATTTATATGTATATTAATCAGCATTAGGATAAACAATCTAGCTTTCTAAATTAAATTTCTAAATGTATATTTGATAATCACATGTTTGAATTGCCCTAACTGTAACTTATATTACTTTAATTTCTTCATTTATATCAAAGTAATAGTAGGACATACTATTATTATTAGTATATCCAATTATCATTTCCATATTTCTTAGAACTGTGTATTTGGTTGATACCATTATATTAAAATGATCAAAATTACCTAAGACATAAATACTTAAAAGCAACAAACAACCATTTTCTTTGCATTTTATTAGTTTATTTTAATTAATGAAAAGTAACTTATTAGAGGAACTAGTACTAAATAATTCTTTGATTTAATAATTTTCTGGCATCGGATATCGTTCTTTCTAAAAATATTAAATATCGAATTCGATTATGTTACAGAACACTTCAATTAAATTAAACTTAGTATATGCTTAAATCTTGATTGAATCATTGTAATTTTTAGGAATCGCATAATAAAAGTAATAATAATGTTACTCTAGAGTTGGACTAGTTTACAAGATATTATCTTTTAATTCAATGGGTGAATTCATTTCTTGTACCAACAACGAATATTGATTAAATCCATTGCTATAGACTCCAATATAAAGGATCTGATTGGATTCAATATTAAAAATGGATACGTAATTAGTGTTTGGCTATATTTAGTATTAATAATTAAATTGATTGGGGTACTAATACTTTAAACTGATATAAATCTAAAGCTGATTGGTTTAATCATATTCAGATAAATAGGTTCTAATGATGTATAATTTCTGATAGTTTTATAAGGATTAGAAATAAAAATAATTTTTTTATTAATCATTAAGCATAGCATAAAAAGTACTTCCCAGATATAAATCTAAGAATGAGGTTGAGTAATAATACATTATTTGATAAGATTCATTTTCATCATTTGAGATTGATTTCACATAAAGATAATAAAACCAATTTGGATTTTCAAAGATTATAGTTTATTAGGTATTAGTGAGAGATATATTAGATTTATTAAAAGAAAAGTCTTCAATAATTTTATCACTACTTAGTATGTAACAAATAAAGTTACCCTATAAGGATTTTAGATTGATGTAAAGAATGGCCATCTCAGTAACTTAAAAATTGTAGTAAAGGTTCAAGTCTAATGTTTTGAATGGAACTGCTTATACTAAATTAATATACGAAATTCTAGTGGAAGATTTATTGATTATAGTTTCAATGTATGAATACTTTGAAGGTATTCTAGCCTGAACTTGTATTGTATAGGAATTAGCTTCTGAATTATTGGGTTTCATCACATGTAAATCTAAAGAAGTTATGAATTCATTTTTCGATATAATCTATTGTTTAGAAGCTTTCTTATTAATCACATCTAGTTCACCTTCATAAGTAGCTATACTGATTATTGTTTCTTATTGATTCATCCCACTCACAAATGCAGTATAAATATCTGATTTCCATTCCATTAAATATGTATAAGAAATAATTTATTAAGAGGGTAGATTTTAGGTTTTGATTACTTGAGAGTTCGATTTTATTTTAATAGAGAATTCCATAAAATCAGCCAAACAGTAAATTGCTATCACATAAAGGTAATTAAAAGAATTTAGTTCGAACCAAAATTTAGTTACATTTGTTTCACTTTCTGTTTGATTATAGGGCAATGATAATATATTTTGATACTCTTAAACATCTTATGAAATTATATTTATTTTTTCTTTTGTGATTGAACAATTATAATAATTATTTGAATCAGCATTTTGAAGATATTCAAATATATCATCAGGATTAAGTATTTCTATCTCTTCAGAATCTTTTATACATTATTTATCTATCATAATACCATGACCTTTTGCAAAATTGCCCTAAATATTTATTTTTGTATCTTCAATATGGAAACTTGTCTATAATAAAAATTAAGCTATTTAATTCTTCTATAAAAATCCTCTATAAAAAAAGGATTTAGTTTTAATTCTCTCCCTTAAATTATCAGTCTATTTAGTTACAAATTCATAATATTAATAATGATTTGATTTAATTGCTATAACATAAACATTTGTATGCACCATTTTTTATGGTGGAATAATAAACTAATTGTTAGCCTGATTGAATTCAAATTACCATTCAAAATTACTATAATCTAATTTACATCTATTTTCTATGCAAGGTTATACATAAATTTATAATATCTCATTTATAGAAAGTATTTCAAAAATCAATAATTTATCTTTAAAATCCTCAATGCTCAATTAATAATAATTGATTTTATCATTTATAATTATATCTGATAATTTCTCATATAAACTTATACTGTGAATTTTTTAAAATATCTCTTTTTCCAATAATAAATATCCTTAAGATTAGATAATCATTGCCATCTCATAATAAGGATTTGATAAATTGTACCAAAAACAGATTCTAATTTCATTCAAGTTATTATTATACTAAAAATAAGTTTCAAATTCTTCAGTTGGTTATATAGTCTCATTCATACTCATGTATATTTTAACATTTTCATGCAACTAAATATCAAATATTCTTATTTAAAATCGTTCGTATTCTAAATTAGTTAGATTTACTCTAATTAGTTTTTAATATATTTCCTCTTTAAATCCAATCATAAATAAATCACTTAAATAGACATCAACACTGTCTTTAATAACTTTTAGTTCATAGTAGCAACTGATATCACAAAAAGCAATAAAATATATAAGTTATTCTTTCGATCTCAAGTCAGTAGGAAATTTACAGATAATTTCATTCGAACTTCTGCATTCCTTTGTTTAAAGTCTATCTCTAATAATCTTTAGATTTACTTATAAACATCATTCAAAATATAAAGAGATGGATGTATACGTATATCATTTTAGGGAATTAAAATTACAAAAATGTCCCAATTTTCCATATCTTGTGGAATTTCTAATTTATATTAATGGACTGGATAGTTAAGCCATGAGTTTGGTGCTTCTCTTTCCTTTATGAAATCAATATGATTACCCATAGAATTTGTAAGATTTATCAATCTCCAAGTTAAATATTTCCTTTGATTTTACAAATTACAACAATATCAAAATTATATACATTTTATTATGTTTTATAAGACTGTTTCTGATAAAAAGGGGACTCCCTCTCCTTTACGTAAATGTTCTCAATATCATATACCAAATACATACTTCTCAACGATTAAACAACCTTTAGAGAGATCATTTGAACCAATTGAAAAGTAAAAAACATTAACTGATGAATAACATGAAATCTAAAAATTGCATTATGTTATTGAATAATTAAAGGACGAAAATAATAAATTACGTTCTGCATTGCAATAATAAAATTTATAATTTATATATGAAACTCAACAGTTGAATTAGTAAATTACTAATATGCATTCAGAGTAACAATCAATTAAATAGATATTAATCGATAGAAATAATGAAAACAATAAAATGATCTAATATATTGAAGAACTGTCTACTTAACATTAAAATCTATAAACTCAATATTAAGATGCTTATTTATAATTGTAACAGGCAGAAATTTATTCCAATTAAATTATGTTACTCTAAAAAGAATTGAAGGGAAAAGCAGATGAAATTGAAATACTGAAAAATGAACTGTAAATTACTACTAAATCTAATACTGAATAGTCTGAGAATCAAAAAATCTATGATTTCCTTAAAAATGTTAAACAATAATATATTGATGATGAATGTAGATCACTAAATTTATATGATTGATATTAAATTATAAATAAATATAAGAGAAGTAACATATAAAAAGATTAATCAATTTTATTTGCATCTGCAAACTGGACAAGAATTGTTCATTCTTAACCATTTTCCAATACAATCATCATGAAAACCATGATTGCAATTCATCATAGCAATTTATTCTCCATTTTTGAAATCTTCTTAACATATATAACAAGTCTTCTCTTATTCTCCTAAATGAGTTTATCTCTTCATGTTTTTTATTTGATCTTCACTAGCTCCATTATTTTCACTCTCATTATCATGATTATTTTAAAATATAATATAATAAAACACTCTTTATCTTCTGAGTGGTTATTAATAGATTTAATATTGTTTTGGGTGATTTTATTTAGTAATTATTTGTTCTAATACACATCCACAATTTTAACAGAATTATTCTTAATTCAATTATTCACCCTCTAATCTACTGTGAGATTCTTTTTAACATAAATGGCACCAATAATTTTTGAAAGCAACTTAATATTAGCTTTGATTCATTTCTTTATATTTAATAATTCTATAAGGATTAAGATAATATCGTTTTGAAATATATTTTACTAAATTATTTCTAGAAATAGAAGCATCGTAAATATTCTAGAAAATTATACTCTAATTAAAAAATTGAAAAAAAATAAATATTTAATAAAACATAATTTTATAAATATTTTAATAATTACTCATTTATAATATGAGTATTAATAAATATATAAAAAAATGATAATTTTAATGCCAGCCTACAAAAATAATTTGGAGGTGTTAATAAAGTAAGATTCAAAATAAGGTATTGGTCTAATTGATCATGAATAAACTGAGACATTTAATTAATGGAAATTTCGAGGTGGTTTGATAAGTATTTATGAAGAAAGTATAATATCTTCATATGGCAGATTCAGTTTATTATGAGAGTAATAATCCTTAGGCTAACAAAAAGTATTTATTGAAGGTGACCAAATAAAGTAAGTAATATTTTAAAGAATTCTTATAGTAAATCAATATGAAATTATGTTACATGTAATTCAACCAACATTTATAGTAGTAAAGGATATTAAATCTGCAAATGGATCATAATATCCAATAATAGCTAATTCAATAATTCGTTTAGGAAGAGTGTAAATATATAAAAATATATGTTATTATATTAGTGAGTATAGAGTGATTGAGGAGAGAAATAAAGAGATGTAAATAACATATGCAGAGACAAGGAATTAAGATTAATTATAATAAAACGATACTAATAAAGTCTATTAATGCAGATTCTGTTTTATGGAAGGGATATAAAGCAAGGATTAGTTGTTTCTAACAAATATTTGCAGATGTGTAGGAAATAGTTAGGCAGTACATTTAGATTGTATGAGATATTGGGTTGATAGTAATATTACTCGTGAAGAGACATAATTTGGATTATCCTTAAAATGGTAATCAATATAATTAAGTATGAATTAGGAACAAATCACATGAATGTTCAATTTGTAAAGAAAGTTTACCAGTAAGAGTTCAGTATGAGAATGAGTATTTCGATTTATTCACTCTAGAGAGACCTGAATTACAATATATCTTAATAGAAGTAATACAGTACAATGTTATGTGTTTAGAATGTTAATAAGGAAAAGAATGTTTATGGCGAGATATATTTGATACATGCTCTTTTATAAGATAATATAAAACTAGTAATTTAATGATCAGCTATCAAAAAAGGGCAGAGGATTGTAATGTGACATCAAAGCTCAAGATATTACAGTGTCTAGACATCATGCTACCATCAAACTATCCAAAGATAATTATTTTGTAATCGAAGACAATAGAAGTAAATTTGGAACCTTAGTTTCTATTAATCAAATTTGTTAAATTGATTGCGTTGCTTGTAGTCTACAAATTGGCAAACTACTCATTAATCTCATCTAATCAGATTATATTCTTAAAGGTATATTATATATATTTTATCATCCTAAGGTGCACCATCAACTCAACATAAATTAACATAACTGCCTTAAATTAGTAAACAACTAGAAGAAGATGAACCATAAATGGATGATGACTCATTTCAATTAGAAAATAAATGACTTCTATTTTTTTATTTTATTATAAATTTATTCATAGATCTTTTTATCAAACATAAAATTTTTAATTAAATATTTATTAACACTTCTTATACATCTTCTAATTATATTTCTAACATTCCTCTAATCTATTCAATTATTCCTATATTCCCAAACTATTATAATCACTAATATAATTTGAATTATAATTCAATATTGCTGCCAATTAACCTGTCAATTCTGTTACCTTCTATTACAATTCTTAAATTATTTCAAAGTATAACTATTTCTCATGTTTCCATTCCTTCAAATTGGAATTTTACGAATTTACCTTATGAAGCTATTCATTCTACTTTTATAAAATCTACATCTATCCCTATAATACTGCTATTGTTTAGGAATAATTCAACAATGCTTTTTAATAATCATCACGAATTATCTATACTTAATGTTTTATTTCTGAATTCAATTTTGTTGAATAAGATTACTTCATCTCCTTTTCAAATTCTATACAAGATTATCTCCATTTATATTCTTATTATTGTAGTAATTCATTCAATTTTTTATTTTCCTCGTTTTTTTATTCAAATTATTTATTAAGATCTCCTATTATTTAAATTTAATCCTAATTCTTTTTTGTTATTATGTAATTCTATTCTTTATTCTATTATTATAAAAAGGCTATTTCTTATTCTAATTTTATAATTATTTCATTTTGCTATTTCTATTATTGTTACAATTATCTCTATTCATTCAATCGTTACTACAACATATGATTCAAATTTTCATTTTCTTTCAATACAATGTTTATTTTATCTGACCATCCTTTTTCTCCAATTTGTATTCTCTCTAATTCAAAACATTTTAACAAATATTTTTATGCCAATTATACAAATTATTCTTTATAAATCTTATTTGCCTATTAAGATTCAATCAATTATTAATTGGTAATAGATTTCTACTCAATATTCAATTCTTCTCTTTCATTGAGTATTTATTACAATTCTAAAATTTATTGAGATTGTTAATTATTTAATTTTTTGTATTATAATACAGTTTATTAGAGTGATTACGTTTCTCTTTATAATGATTATAATAATACAGTCTGATTATTAGTTTCATAAGCAATTTTAGCTTTTTCCAACTCTTACATTAATTATTCATTGATAAGTATAAGTTTTTGATTCTCATCTATCAAAATTGTTACTTTATTTTATAAATTAATTAGTGTATGTTGTTCTTTAGAGTTTTTTTAACTAAAATCTGAAACTTACTCATGTTAATTGATTGAAACAAACTTATTCTCCTTAGTTTCTGAGACTATTTTCTTATTTACAGTGTCAATAATAGATTAATTATGTGATAATTATCTAGTAATAGTTGGACGATTAGATTGCATTGAATAAGAACGTTATTTTGAATTTTCACTACTAACAGACACTAAATTTAATTATCAATAATATACATTATAATTCTGAGTTGCATTCTGAATGTAATCGTTTCGATCCACTTGATTTGATAGCTGAAGACTTCACTCCTGAATTTAAGTTTACTGATCTAATAACACCTTGCGATTATAATGAGTTAAATATAGATTGAGGGGATTGTTTGTAATCTGATATTGAAATACTCTGTAACATGTTTCAAATTTAAATTATATATATAAAATAAGAAATATGTTAAGAACTTTTAAATTTTCTACAAAATTCACAACCACTTAATTTCTTAAACTCAGTAATCTTAATTAACTGTAAATTATAATTAATTGATTTCACATCATTAAATAATAAGATTGAAAATTTTGAGAATTTGCAACATCCTTATCAAAGGACTTCTTTATATTCATTTACATAATTTAAAATCTTTTGTCATAAACAAACTAACTCTCAAATAAGTAACTATGTTATTCATCTTCCAATAGTGGTTTTCGAAATTCAATTATGTTAATGGCTTAATAAAAGTCAATAGAAATGGAGAATTAATTATTAAGTGAAAATAATTTATTAATATAATAATGAATACATAATTTTGAATATCAAACTTCTAGGAGTTTCTAAACAACTTCGCGAATAGGCTTCGATCTAGGCCTGATCATTTAAATTTATTAAATAGCCTATTCGAGAGAGTAATTCAAATCCTGTACCATGTAGAGGATAATAGTTTAAACACTCCTTTAAATCCCATCTGTGCAATGGATGTATACGCATTTGCCTTGATCCAACAGTTTTTTGAGGATCTAATAAGCTTGCATTCCATTTTATAGATAGGATCTTTTGTTGCAATCTCTTATCGGACAATGTATATAAACGATACTTTGAGATTGACTTTGAGATGAAAGTTGATCAAAATAATCTTCAGGTAAATCTTTGTTAATTAAATCTTCAACAGTCTATAAGTTTATTATGGCATTGATACCTAATTCTTATAGAATTGTGATTTCGCTATTATATAAAATAAAATAATTACTCGATATAAATAAATGAACCAACGTATAAGTTTTAAAAAATTCGATTGTAGTTAAGATTGAAATCGACAGCAGAATCAGTCACATGGATGACATTATTGATAATAGGATGTGTATGGATCATTCGAACAGCCCCTCTTTCCCATTTATAATTGGATTGGTATTTATAGGCAAGTTGATGAATAGATTTATTAGGTATGAGGAATGTAGATGTGGATTGTCCATTTGATGAAATAAGTGGAATCTTTGATTTACCTGTATTTGAATAGAGATTTAGGGTTATGTTGGAATGAATATCGGTAATTAATTTGAGAGTGATACGAATTTGACCCCAAACATCATGGACATCTTGATGAGAATTGATAACTCTATTGTTTCCATCTTCCCATTCAACTATTTATCTATTGCATTACTTAACAACTACATAACGATAGTTGATTGGTAGACAACATGAGTCCAGTGTTACAGTCCAGATGTCATTTTGATTCCATTACATTTAAATTCCATTCAAAATATTCCATTATATTTTATGGCAATCACCTACAATTAAAATCACTTCTCCATAGTTGACATGTTTTTGAACAGATATACAACTCATAAATTAAATTAATAATCTTTCAAATTTAATATATGTTTGTATTAATACTCAACTAAATTACCAATTACCTGTACTATCTAATTATTCAAGATTAATTCCTTCTCCATATCCAATATATCCTAAATCAGTGAATGATCGATCAATAACTCTATGATCAACATATTTGCCTGGTTTATTTGGTAGAAGTTCTACTTCAGGAGTTAATGAGATGGATCCTTCATAAGATCTAGTTGATGCCTATTGATTCAATATAAAAATACTCTTCTATAATTAGTTAATAAAGTGGGTTAAATTCCCTCACAAATTTAGCCCTATTCTAATTCTTCCTATTCTTAATTAAATTTTTTTTAAGCTGTAAATTTCTTATATTCTTCTTCACTCATCTTATGTCCAATTTTATCATCTGTCTTTTATTTGAACCATCCTGAAGGAGGGATAGATTCTCTAAAATTCTAGAATTGAAACACTTGATCTATGTAACGTTTTAAATTGTATTCAGAACTCACATTACAACATAATTCTCTTTTTAAAGTTTCCTAAGCAGTTGTTCTATATTCTGGCATCTAATGTAACATAGGTAACATAAATGAACAGAATGACAATGCTTCTTAAACTTTGAATCTATATTTTTCAGTTAATACATTAAATAAATTCCAATAGTGTAATTATTATATTCTCTTCATTACTCCATTTTGAGAGAAGTAACGCTTGATTAATAATAAATTTAATACTTTTGCCTTAGCCCCTCTAGTTCCATATTCATAAGGAAACTTTCCCAACAATTCTTAGATTTATGCTAAATGATCTTCATTCTTTGAAAAATTAGGTCCTTGTCTAGGTTCAAATAAATAATCTCCTGTCAACATTTCAAAAATCATGCATGCAAAACTCCATATATCTGCAGTTGGATTATATTTAATTCCCAATAATACTTCTGGAGATCTATATTATCTAGTTTAAATTAATGTTGAGAAGTGATGATGAATCCAACAAGCATTACCTAAATCAGCAATTTTAACTCTAAAATTATCAGGTAAAGGTTTCTATGTTTTAAATGATATTCTATATTAATAATATATAAATACTTCTTTTATCTATCTTATTTAAATAAATCTTTTATTGAATTAGGCATTTCTTCTTCTTCCTCTACTTACTTTACTTTATCCTTTTACTTCTTTTTCTTCTTTCTCTACAATTTTCTTCTTTATGTTTTACTCATTTGTGTTTCTTCCTCTTCTGAATCTTCTTCCTATTACTCTTCCTTCTTCTATTCTTATGATACGATTCCTAACATTTTTCTATATATATGAATTCTATCTGAAAATAATTGATTTGATGTCAATTAACCATTCTCCACTATATCTTTAATTTCCTCATCTGATAAACATAATAACACATTCTCTGGTTTTAAATCAGTATGAATAACTCCACAAATTCTATGTAAGTAATCCAAACCTATCAATATCTATTTACCCATCTTTCTTACAATATCCATAGGACACTATATTTTATAATCTACTATAATGATACTCCTTTATAATTGTATCTTTTTATAACCTCCAATAAATTCACTCCCAAAATCTCAAAAACCATACAAAAATGATGTCCATAAGGTCCCTTGTATACAAATGAATTTAACAACTACACTGTGTGAGTATCGTCTCGATTGAAGTGCGTTCGACCTTCCTTTTTAACTATTCAATCAAACTCTTACGTCTGCATAATATTCTTTTAATGATTATATCCAAATAGGATTTTACACATTCTATGCTACTTTCTGTAAAATCTCTACCTAATCAATATATTAATCACCAACTTTACTTCATCATATGCTGCTTCTAAGTAATGTGATGCACTCTTCTATATCTTTAGCGCCACATATGTATCATATTTGAAATCTTTTGCTAACCACACTGTTGAAAAATGACCCCAACCCAATTTCTGGATTATTACATAACGATTTAATAACACTTCCCCAACATGAACTGGGTGGTATCCTTTCTTTTAGTCATATTAAACCAACCTCCAATCTTATAATCTTCCATGCCCTCATCTTCACTGTCATGCTCTTAGTCTAGGTGATCCATCAACTCTCCTATCTACTCATTACTCACTTTTCAATTATCAATAACTCTTACCACCACTTGACATTGTTATAAATATTTTTATTTTAATCAGACATAAATCAAATTTATATTCTCTTCATTGATAGATATCTACTCACTCTTATTGTATGAATAACAACAATCATATTTACAGATAAATAAATATACTATTTCAATCAATATTTAAATTAAATTCCAACTCTATACTATTTTACTTAGACTAAATCTTAAATTTGTCAGCTCTTATTGATCAAGACTCAAATGATAACATTTGTCATAATGAGTTATCTTTTAATTTAGTTTAAGATCATTAATTATGAATAGATTAAAATTAATTATAATATTTGTATTAGATATAGCTATAAATTTATTGCATATTTGATACATCATAATAATAGGATAAATATTCATTTATTTTTTTGGGATTCTGTTAGTATTGTTAAATTGCCATCGCTGCATCCACAAAATAGAAATCTTTTATCTTTGGATATAATTATGGATAATGGAATAATATTTAATTTAATTTTACTCTAAAATGGCTATAGATATGGCAAATGTCTTCTGACTATTTCTGAATTTTCAGTACCATATATCTGTATTAATAATAATAAAATACCATAATATCTTAATGGAGATTATTCTTAATAATTTGACAATCTATCATGGTGAAGCAATTTTCTTATTATACTTCTAATAAAAATCCATTAATGGAATAGCTATAAATTTTATGATCTTGAGCAGAGAAGAATACAATACAAAAGAGTGGACGACTACTCATAATAATAGAGTTAATAGAATTATTATTAGGATGCATAAAAGATCTTAATAAGGATCCATTATAAAGATTATAAACATAGATGGAACCTCCAGCACAACCAGTTGCAAAGAGTTTCATATTATTTGAAACATATATACAATTGATCTAATAAATAGATAAATAAAAAAGAATACTTAATGTTAATGATGGAAATATTGTTTTTCAACTTATAATTTATATGTACTTTTATCTATTTTCCACAGAATAACGTGACCTGTTTTATCGCCAGTGATTACCATAAATTCTTTTTTATCAGTAGCTAATTTAGTAATGGTAGAAGTATGAAATATATAAATATCAGAGATTTGATTATTTTCTCCAATAGCTAGTAGTTTGCCTTAATAATATCCTCCACAAAGGAATATCTTTCCCTAATTCAATATAAGAATTGGATAAGATGGAAGATATACAAATGAATCTGATAGAATATAGGATTCTCCTAAAGGTTTGATAAAATTGAATAGTTTTTCTTTTTCAGCTGCAAATGTAAAAGGTTATTCAGTTTAATTAGAATCATTATAAGAGGCATATTTGAGATCATTACTAGAGGCATATTTGAAATAATTGATTTTACCATCTTTTCTTAAACATAGTAATCTAGCATTTGATATTAACTTTATTTTAACAATAGCTTCATTATTTGGAGATTAGAAATTTATTATATATTTTAATGTATTTTGTATATTCTTCTTTTAACTTGGTCTAAACAAAGTTAAATTGGATGAAGATAGAATATTTGGAAATTCATTATTAAATATTTTTTCATTATGTTATCTTGTAAATAGTTATAAGGGAGTGATTCCGAAATTTACAATTTAAGATTCGATTCCTAATTTATTTTCTTCCATTTTTTCTAGAGTAAGTTAATTATCATATGTTAAATAGAAGAATACATTTAATGATTTTTCAGCTTCTTTGCCTCTTTATTTATATCCAAATATAAGATCTATCCATTCTTAAAGATTTTTAGAAACTTCTTCACTTTCTAAAGCATTTCTATATCCAGTAACAAAAATCCAAGGATTACCATTACACCATTTAGGTAGTATTACATTATTAACAAATAAACCAGTTTAAGTTTTACCAAAATTAAGATTTGCCAAATTCAAAAACATTTCAGGTAAACAAAATATTTCAGGTATTAATTCTCTTACATCAGCAATATCTTCAACAGCACATCTATAACTCTCACAAAAATAATAAAATAATCTATCAGCTATATCGAATCTATCTCCTTAAATTGCTTTTGATGCACTTGTGAATGGTTCCAATCTTACTAAATACTAAGATATTATGGCAGGTGTTGAATAATGTGAACCATAATGAAATTAAGGTATTTCACTACCCTATTCAGATTATTCAAATCTTTCTATATAACTTAACACTCTTTATTAATTCCCCATAGCTCCCATAGTCTTTTAAAATGCTCTAAATCTTCCCTCAGGATATATTTAAATACTTTATTATTACTATTACATAGCTTTATCATCTTCTTATAACACCCATGGAAATATAGGATATTAAGTTATATCATTATAACTTCTTGATGCTAAATTGTTAATCATCAATAAGTATCTAAAATTACTCATTTGTGATCTAATTATATATCATATTGTACTTAATCCATTTTTAATAATATCCCTATTTATCTAACAGCTTTATTGGATCTGTAGTCTTACTTTGATTCAAAAATGGGGCATTTTAAGTTTTACGGAAACTTAAAATTTTTATTGAAATTTCATCTAAATCATTCGGATCAGGAACGCTGAAAAATATTGATTTACTTTATTATTTTTATAAATCAATATATATACCCATCAATGAAGAAAATTTCCAAAGCATTTCTTTTTTGTAAATATTTCTTCTTTATTATCTACTATAAATTGTATAATGGATATTATTTAAGCAATAATTAATCATCTCTCAATTAAAAATCACAAAATGATACATGACTAACTTTTTCAAATAATTTTTCATATTATACTAAAAGATGTGAATCAGTTAAGGTCAAAAAAGCATGATAAATAAATAAACCATTTATAACCTTGATTCTTTTACCTTTAAAATGATTATCTGCAAATGATTTTACATTAAATTATTCAAAAGGTTATTAAGTAGCAATTGTCTTAACAACATTCTTTATATTGCTACCTATTGCTTTACTTATATTATATAATTGAGTTGCTGCTTAAATAGCTTATAAATTTCCAAAAGATTTTTATTTAGAATTTGTGTATAATAACAAAGGTGCTTCTTAAGGAGTTTAAACAACAGCCTTATTTTTAAACTTTTCTGGAATCTTAGCAATTGTTTTTAGGTAAGGACGAACTAATGATTTTGTAAGCATTTTTGAAATTCTTACTGAATAATTCTCATCCTTTTCAAATTCTTAATTGAAATCCTTAATGATTTAATCTTTTTAATAGAATCCTTTCTTTTGTTAAAGCCATTCACCTTCCAAAAATAATTATTATAAACTTTTATAATATTTACGTCGTCCAATTCGTTCTTTATTACTTTCAATATATAACCATTAGGCTCTTTTTTCTTAATTTTATATTAATCTAGCTTCTCCACATAATTAAACATCTTAAGATATAATCTCTATTGATACACCTGATTCTTTTGACCAACGTTAAGGATGAATAAGTTTAATATCATCATAATCTTCATTCAATTTCAGCTTAATAAGTAATTCATCTATAAGATTATCATTCAAAAATGATTACTATTACAATACTTTAAGTAATTAATCAAAATCATCATATAACTCAATAAAGAATTTATTTAAGAATGATGTATTGTTATGTTATCCATTTACTACCATTATCATTAAACACATTTATATTATTACTTCTTTGATTCTTTATTTTTAACCCTTCTTTAAAGTAGTAGACATAATCTATTTTAAAGGATAATTGATTTCAGATTTACAAATCTCATAAGTAATTGAATAAACTAATAACAATTAATAAAGATTTTCCTAATTACTGATTCTCAATAGAATTTCAAATACTTGAAAATTATATAAATTACTATTTAAGAATGAAAACATTCTATAAGATAATTCTTTAATTGGACCATTAAAGAAACTAGAAATTTGATCAAGTTATTCTAAATTTAAATGTTTATATTACCTTCAAAGTATCCTTTAAATAAAAAATCTTTATAGAGTAAATTAATTATATTATTAAACTTAATTATATATTCTTGATAACGTTCCTTCATATCACAAAGATACATGAGAATCATCAAAATATTCTTCCATAATTAGGATTCAAAAGATGGCGAATAGTTTTTACATTAATCACTAACATTACTAAAATGTATAAATACTATAGTAATTCATAGATGGATTATATTTCTTTATCATTTTAACCATTAAATTTAAGTAAGTCTAAAAAATACTCTGCCCCATTTGCTTCATTCTTCAAAACATTCATTAATAGTGTAGAGTGTAATCTATGTCCAATTTCATATATCTAATTATAATATGTTAAATATAAAGTACTAGATTATTTTCATCCTATATTTGAATAATATGTAATAGGGTTGATTAAAATTGTTGTTCACTTAACATTTATTGAGAATTGCATTAATGTGATTTACATAAACATAATAGATCTTATAATATTTAAGCCCTGAGATTTTCCTCTTGTGAATATTTTAGGATTTTCATAATTATATTGATAATACTAGAATAATGAATTTGATCTCCTTCTTCTATCATCAATGATTCATTAGCTCCAATTTTTAATTTATCTATCATCCAACCCATAAGTTGATTGTAAATTGGGGCTAATGAGAATTGTTATTAATTTTTATGTTCTTAAAATTATTAATCATTTCCAATTTGTTCTTATATTATAAAATTATTGATAAATTCTATTGCTTCTTCAGTTTGTTATTAATAATTGATAAATTTCTACTATGAAATCAAATTCAAGAAATAGATAAGGATTGCTCTAATATCATTATAATAAGTAGTTTTGAATAGAAATAATAATTGATAAACAATATTGTTTTGATACCATACATATAAAATATGTATAGTTTTTATAGTATTATCTTAATTGTCAACTAATAAGCTCTATTAAATTAGAATGAATGTACCTTTAGTTTTGTGAAGATTTATAATAAAAGACAAGGAGACATTTTGGATAGGAAGTAGGGTTCAAAAAGTATTAATTTATCAGTCAAATCATTTTGTTAATCGAATAAATAGAGTATTTTATTAAAAAATATCAATTGAAATGAAGGCTTTGGATTTGGATGATGTAAATTACAACATGATTGATCATTATAGGAATAAAATAAAATATCTAATAGATCTTTAGGAGAGATGAAATTAATGAATTGATTTTGTAAGTAAATGATGCTTGATAATTAAAGATAATTTTTGAATACATTTTCTGTAGTACATTATTAATGTAATTTAGAATTCCATAGAATGTAAATGAAAAAGTGTTACATTAATCTATTATCGATTATGATTAATTTAAATTCATTTAATAATTCTACACATTTAGCATTTATTAAAGGTTTTTCAAAACTCATGATTATAGAAGCAACAGTAGGTAAGAATTTAGAATGATAAGCTTAATCTTACAATGATGGATTATTTTTAAGAATGATATTCATTACTTCAAACATAATAGTAATTTAATCTTAATAGTTTGCAGATATATGTAATAGTGCATAAAATAATTTAAAACCTCCAAATTAATTAAATTTATTCTTATCAGCTATGACAAATCCTGAATTACTTTGTAAAATAGCATTGAAATTACCCATAAGATCAGCAATACGATTACCGCTTGAGAATTCAGGTATATAGATTGACATTATTCGATCGAAGTATTTGTCCAAAGTACTTTATAAGCTTTTCAATAAATTATAATCCATTTACTATTGTTATCCATAAACTTATTAAATTAAATTGATTCTATATTAATTTATAAAATAAACTTGCTTGAAGATTAACTCATCAGTATTATACATGTTGATGTTCCAAATAAGTTTTCACAAATACTGAATCTTGTCATAGGTAAATTTGAGTTTAAGCGAGGAAATTCAAACGTTGTTTTGCATTGCTATTCCTTATTAAACAAGATCTACTTTCAAAACTTATTAAATACTGTTAAATGTGATGAGGAGAATGTTTTTTTAGGTTCATGAGATATTGCTAAAAAATTCTAACCATCTTTTAATTAACCAATGTACATTACACCTTAACCCATCTCTGGCTCTTTATATTGTTTATTAATTATTCTATAATATACAGATCCTCTCATTATAAAACATTCTATTCCACCTCCATTCTCAGATCCTTAAGCATGAATACTTAATATTTTCTAAACTCCTATATTATTCTCATTAAATTAATCATAATTTATTTTCTCTACACTAAACCAAATACAAAATCCTATTCCATCTTAAAATACCCAATTCATATTCTCCACTTTTATTCCACTTCCTCTCCCTGAAAAATAAAATTGATTTTGAACACGAGGTCGTAAGGATTCCTAAAATTTAATCATCATCTACTTTATACAATGTGAAAATATCAGGACATAAATTCATTAAATGATACCTCAACACCTTCCTTGTTATGTAACCTTTTTATGCTGTAAGAATTGCAGCTTTTAACTTTTTATATATTATTTATTTTAGAATATACATCCTATAAAATGCTATCTTAGAATTCTGGTAACAATGTATTGTATTTATATTGTAGATATCTCTCCTCAAATTTCATATCAAAACAATTTATCACAATATTGTATTTTTCTTTGAATTCATTAATGATTGATTCTTACATAATAATAATTATTATTATAA